CACCATCCCCCACACCCCGACTCTGCTGTCCTCAGGGATCACGACACTGCTGCACCTGCTCCTTGGGACCCAGGACCAATGTCCCATGGGTCCCCGGGACACGGTCAGTGCTGGCCTTGGGTCTGTGGCGGGGAGGAGGGTGGAGAGGTCTCGCCTTGACAGGGTGGGGTTCTGGAGGCTGGCGGGGAGCTTAGCTTGTGCCCTCATTCCCTGGCTCCCCATTTTTCCATGTCCTATTTCAGAGGTCGCCCTCAGACCCCAGAGGCAGGGCACGTGAGGGGTGATGCAGGGACCGACCCTGGAAAGGGGGCCCAACGCCACCTGGGGACAGGATGCACGGGGGTGTCAGTGGGGTGGGTTCTCGGGGCTCACGCGTCCTTGTGTTCAAACCTGCACAGGTGTGGCTCACGTTCCGAGACACGTCCCAATGTTCCGTAACAAAACGCCAGCCGACGTGGTAGCAGGGCCATGAGGAACAGGTGCCTGGGCCTCAGGGCAGCTCCGGGCACCCGGACCCTCAGGGCACCAGCCCACAGCCCTGGGAGGGCCCTTTCGAGCCTCTTGGCTGGGCTCGAGGCACCGTGGCCTCCACAGCCCTGGCAGGTGCCTGGTTGGCCCCTCCTGGGGTCACCCGCTGCCTGCCCATCACTGCGGTGGGCAGGGCAGGGTCTGGCTGCGCAGGAGGACTCTTGGGACCTCCATCAGGAGGGGGTACTGGGCTGGGGTGCCCGGGGTGCTGATGGGTCCTGGGTGGGGTGGGCAGGCTTTTGACTGCATTCTCTCCACGGGCCTGCTTGGTGGTCACTGCCGTGGTCTTATGAGTCCAGGCAGGTCCCTGGGGCCAGGGCCCCGGGAACGAGAGAGGCTGGCAGGGATGAGTAGGTGCGGCAGTTCTGAGAGGTCACAGGGCTTGCTCGGGGTTGCTGGCCGGTCCCACGTCCTGCTGTCCGCTGGGGGACGCGGTGGGGTGGAGGTGTCCTCCCAGGTTCCCACTGGTGGTTTAGAGCCAGGATACACTTCCTGCCAACCAGACTGGGTTAAATTAAACCCACCATGTCTATGGTGGGTTTTACGATGTTCATTTGGACATTCAGAGGTGATGCCTCAACTTTGTAGAAAGAAAATCATAGGATGCGGGCAGAGTTAGGATGCTGGATTCTTCCTCACATGGCCACTTGCTGGGCCCGCGATGGGCCTCCTGGGCCGGAGAGGGACAGCCTCCTCCTCCAGCCCCTTCTTGTGGCTTCTGGTTCCCATCTGAAGTCATGGAATATCAGCTTAGATTTTTAATTCCAGGGCAACTGTTACCATAGCGGGTTTTATGACACACCCTCATCATATTTAACTAGTGGCTTTGTGCTCACTGGAGACAGGATCAAACTTCTAAAAAAACCCAATATTTTTCCCTATGATAAAAGTAACACAAGATTGTTGTCCAAGTTGGGGAAAAAATATAAAGAATAAAAATTACCCGTAATTCTGCCACCCAGAGTGAAGCAGTTACTATCTTGATGTGATGTACACACTTGGACTTTTACCAGCTTGGACCACGTGTTGTGATGTAGAGTTTCAGAGCTGCTCTCTGGCTGAGTGCTGCTGGGCCCAATATGGAAAGGGGACAGCCGGGAGTGTCAGTGACCTGCGTGGCCGTGGGGTGGACACCAGCACCTGGGCTGGGCAGCCTGGTGTCTCTTCTTTATTTATTTATTTTTTAACATCTTTATTGGAGTAGAATTGCTTTACAATGGTGTGTTAGTTTCTGCTTTATAACAAAGCGAATCAGCTATACGTATACATATATCCCCATATCCCCTCCCTATCCCACCCCTCTAGGTGGTCACAAAGCACCGAGCTGATCTCCCTGTGCTATGTGGCTGCTTCCCACTAGCTATCTATTTCACATTTGGTAGTGTGTATATGTCCATGCCACTCTCTCACTTTGTCCCAGCTTCTCCTTCCCCCTCCCCGTGTCCTCAAGTCCATTCTCTACATCTGCATCTTTATTCCTGTCCTGCCCCTGGGTTCATCGGAAACTTTTTTTTTTTAGTATGTGTTATACTAAAATATATATATGTGTTAGCTTACGGTATTTATTTTTCTCTTTCTGACTTACTTCACTCTGTATGACAGACTCTAGGTCCATCCACCTCACTACTAATAGTTCAATTTCGTTTCTTTTTATGGCTGAGTAATGGTGTCTCTTCTTGACCCCAAACAAATAATTTATCCCCCCGAACATGCCTCGGAGTAGGTCCAGATTTTTTGGATGAGGCTCTCTGTCCTTGGTGACAAGATTCAGTAAAAAGATATAGTTGTTTGTTATCTGCTTTCCAAAGATGGAGTCCCACATGGATTTTTCTCCTGGTTTTTATCTATGACTGCAATCAGGCAGTTTTTCCAGAGAAAACTACCCCTGCTCCCACCGCCTCATAGCCTCCTGTCTCTCTCTGACCTCAGCCTTCCTCTGGCCCCATGTGCATGAGGGTAAGCTGCTCAGGTGCCATCCACATCAGGAGGAATCCGCTCTGACATTATGGGGACAGGAACAAAATTGGAACGTAGACTGTGGGTTAGATTGAGTATCGTATCTGCACTGGATTTAGTGAGTGGGGTAACTGCCCCGAGATTATGTAAGAGAACGTCCTTGTTCTTATGAAACACACCGAGTGTTACCTAGTAAAAGGACACCAAATGCGGGGCTTACTTTCACATGCTTCAGAGGAGGTAAGTGTATGTATAGGAAGGACAGAGATTATATAGAAGTGCGGTCCAACAGTACTTTGTACTATTCTTGCAACTTTAAGTTTGAAAAATGTTCAGAATGATAAATGTAAAAAGAAACACTATGAAAGAACAAAACAACCCACAAACCCACAACCGTGCACATCCAGCCCTCCTAATTCCACCCTGCGAGCGAGCTGTGGTCCTGGATGTTGCGAGAACCATTCCCCTGCTCTCCTCTAGAGTGGGCCTCACATATATGGAAAGCCATCCGCCCCCCACCTGGTTATGCTTAGTGTTGCCTGTTTTGGAGCTTCATACAGACGGAAAAGTGAAAGCCACCCCGCTTGTGTTCTTTTGCGACCGCTTTCCACTTATCCCTCCTAATGGTGACTCTTGGGCTGCATCTTGCCTGCTGATGCTGTAGCTGCCCCGCCCCCCCCCCCCCCCCCACCCCGCCCCGGCAGGATGGGCCACAAGAGTGCTTGCTGTGTTGGATGTGGAGGTGAAGGAGTGAGGGAGGGAGCAAGGGAGGGTGCGAGGGTCTGTCCCGAACGCCCAGCCCCTGCCCTGCGGTTCTGCCAGAGCCCTCCCAGGGCCAAGGGGCCTGGCAAGACAGATGGGAGCCGGGTGGGCAGCTCAGGGAGGTGTTAGCATCTCCGGGAGGCTTGAGTGCCCATCCTGAGAGGAGGGAGAGCCAGCTGGATGCCCCAGGTGTTCCCAGAGAGATTCCTGTCTGCAGGCATGACTTTCCCATTCAGGAGAGGCACATGTGTGTTTACAGGTATGTCCGTGTTCAGGACTGTCCTGATTCTCCCAGCCTTTGTCACATGGCCCAGGGAGAGCTGACCACACACTAGCCAGCGGGCTCCCTTCCTGCCGGAGGACCTGTTGGTGGCTGGGTCCTTTCCCCCCAGGCAGAGGCAGGGATGGGCTGGCAGGTCTGAGGAGGCCTGCCGAGTGGCTTTACTGCTTCTGAGGACATTTTGTAATTAGCACATTAATTGTGTCCCACTAGTGAGGGCTGTCAGGCGTTCTCTGGTGAATCAGGCGGTCCTGTGGTCTTGTCTGGTGTATTAATGTCCTCCCCAGGCCCCTGCAGTGAAGGGCTCAGTGCAAGCAGTGGCGGGGCGGGGGGGTCCCAGGCCCCGAGCACCCCCTCCCCAGTCACTTTCCGCCCTGGAGCAGCTGCCATCCTGAATCCCCACCTTTCTTCACTGTCCGGCCACTCGTGTGCCCGGTGCCGTGCGTGTCGGTCTCCATGTGAACGAAGCGCGGTTTGGGTCCTCCTCCGTGAGCGGCTTTTTCCACTTGGCCTCACGTTGGGAGGTTGGGGTGATGTGCACACGTTGATGGGTGTATTCTGTTGTGTGATTTATTTCTGCCTTCTCCTCTCAGTGGAAATGTGTTTTTTTTAGTTTTTTACTGTGACAATCTCCATCAGCTTTTAAAATCCTCCTGGCACCTCTGTTTGAAAGATAAAATTTCTGGCTGATAAGTTGCTTGGTCCTTGGGGGGGGGTGGCCTCTGGAACTGAGGTCCTGTGCCTCTTGGGGATGGGTGCAGGGACACAGGGCTGGAGGGGGGAAGGGACCAGCAACAGTCTTACCGGGGGTGACTTCTCTCTGAGGCTTTGACTCTCTTGCTGCTGACGTTGCAATGAACACCAGGGCCCGTCAAAATTCAGGCCTGTGTTTTGTAGGTTTGTGCGTAGGGGTAGGGGTCAGGTCGAGCATCCTTTGCCCAGATGTCCAGCCAGAGGCCGGCCCAGGCCCATGCTGACCCGCAGCGCTGGTTGGACGCCCCCAGCAGGCCGACAGCCCTGCTCTGCCAGCCCCTCAGCCGCTTCTGAAGAGCAAATTAGGCCTCAGCAGAAAGCTCTGCAGAGTCTGGAATTAGGACAAATTAGTGAAGGATTGAATTGGTGCTGTCCGTTCTGTTGCTGAGAGATGGCATTTTCTCTTCCTGAATCACCTGGGGAAACTTTTGGCCCCGAGTGAGCACCGCTCCCATCTCCCATGGGCCTCTCACCCCAGGCACTGGGCAGCCTCTTCCAGCCCAACACTGCCAGCCAGGGATCGGGGTGGGGGTGGGGGGCACAACGTGACGTGTCCCCTGGGCAGGCAGCGGTCACCGGGTGGGCACTGAGGGAGGTGGTGGCCAGGTCCTCCTGGCCGTGAGTCTCGTGGTTGGCAGTCTGTCCAGCATGCAGTCGAGGGGCACAGGGTGTCACTGGCTGCAGGGCCACAAGGTGATACCGTGTCCCTTTTTGTCCCCAGATCACCAGAAGCTGGAGAGAGAGGCTCGAATCTGCCGTCTTCTGAAGCATTCCAACATCGGTGAGTAGCCCTCGGGGTAGGGGTCCCAGCTCTCCCATACAGCCAGCAGGGGGACCCCAAAGGCATCCGTCCCTTTCCTTCTCCATTGAAGTATCCCACCCTCAGGCCCCTGGAAACATCTCCTCCTCCTGACTCAGAGGGATTCCTGCAGGGACTTTGGGGCAACTCTCTGGGGGAGGTCAAGGCTGGACTCCTCCTGGACGGGTCCCTGCCCACCACTCTGTAAGTCTGATCCATGATTCTGGTGAAAACACACAGGGGCCTCACGTTCCATGGCTTCAGAAAAGCCACAAGACGGCCTGATTACAGAGAAAAAAGTTTGGAAACCGAAGACCACACCAGGCACAGCCCCAGCCTGAGGTCTGAGGCCTGAGGCCTGAGGTCTGAGGTCTGATTCTGGAGAACCTCTGCCGTCCCCCCAGCCCGGGGCCCCTGGAACTGCCATCTGGGGTGGGGATCAGCTGCCCCTTGGGGGCACGTGGAGTCCCAGGAGCCCAGGTCTTAGCCTCAGGGAGTGTGGGTGCCCTGCCCACGGTAGGCCCCTTCCTTCTGAAACCCCAGACTGAGTAGGGACTCAGTTCAGACACAAGCGTAGGAGCTGCTGGGACCCCAGACCCCGGAAGCTGGTGCAGATCTCCCGGGGCCTGTCAGCCTCCGCCTGCCCGCCTCAGCCGTGAGCGGCCCCTGTCCGCGCAGCACAGCTGCCTGTCCTTCTGCACCTCTGGTCCCTTTAGGGACTCCTGAGGAACCCAGGACCCAGCCCTTGACCACACCGGGAAGCAGCCGGGTGGCACGGGGGGAGGGCGGGCCCACCTTCTCAGAGGCACCCAGGGAGCTCATCAGGGAGGATTCCTGGGCACTTTTGCCCGTGCGCTGACTCAGTTGTGCCGGGATGGCGCCCAGGACTCTGTCTAAAAGGGACGCCAGGCTGTGCCTAGCAGCCACGTCCATGCCACTCCCAGGGCAGGGCCTCGGCCGCGGGGCCAGGAGGGCCGCAGGGGGGCTCGGGGTCCTCGGAGCTGGTTGTGGGAGCTGCTGCCTCCCTGGCTGTGGCCCCTCCAGGCCGCTGGCTCTTCTGCAGCTGGCCCAGCCCGGGTGCAAGGTGCAGGGCAAGGCAGATCTCCCGTTTCTGGGGGGGGGCCCTTGGTGTCGGCCCCAGGGCTGCTGCCGCCCCTCGTGCCTGGGCCCATACTCTTTCTAACCACGGACTCTCAAGGCTGAGACTGTTGGAATCACGGTGCGCAGATTCCTGACCTGCCCCCGGGAAAGCCTGGCTCGGAGGCCTAGAGCGGGCCCAGGAATCGGAATCAGAGCCAGCCTGACGGGTGATTCTGAGGTGGGTGTCCACAGGGACCCCAGCCCCCTCTTCACTGGGCTGGGGCACGTTTGGCAAAAGGGCTGTTGCCCCTCTGCCCGTCCAGGTCCAGGTGCCCGAAGACCCTCTCTCTTGGTGCTCCTGGCTGGTGCCACCACACTGCCAGCTCTACCCACACCCCTTCCCATGCCAGCTCCCTCCCCTGTGTCCGCTGAGCGCCCATCAAGTGTGGGTCCCCCATTCTGAGTGATTTTCAGGAATCCTCTTACTAGGGAGAAGACCCAGGTGTTCTTGGGTTGGTGTTCGGGGCCAATTCTTCAACAAGAAGCCCCCCTGCCCTGCCTGCATACCCCGTGTGGTTCTGGGTGCGTTCTGAGTGGTCTCTGGAGTCCGCCTAGGGGGTTTATTCTAGAACACAGGGGAGGCAGAGCTGAGACTGTGGGGTTCAGCTGAACATTCTCTGTAGACTCAGGAGGGGCTCTCTGAGGAGTGGGTAGTGGGGGAGACTTTTGGGGGAGATGAGGGGAGCCCCTTGCTCCATGGCCTGTGTCTACCCAGCCCCATCTCTGAACAGAAGTGTTCCCAGCCCCTCACCCCTGGGAGAGGAAGCAGGACCACGTTCAGATAGAGGCGGGGTAGGGGCTCTGGGAGGGGCTCCCCTTCCTGTCCTGGCTCACTCAGGAAGCAGTTGTGCTCAGGGCGTGGGCAGGGGAGGATCCTCAGTTTGCCCGTCTGGAAAGTGGAGATGCTGCTACCTTCCTCACAGGGACCCCCCTGTGAGGACCCGAGAGGGTTCCCCTGGCGAGCCGGACGTGAGCTGTGAAAGCCCTCCTTTCCGAGGCAGTGTGCTGAGGTTCAGAGCTCAGAGATCTGGATTCGGACCCCACCTTTCCCCTCAAAAGCCACAGCAGCCACTGAACTGCTTTGAGGCACAGTCTCCTTGTTTGTGGACTAGGCGTGTTTCACAAGTGTGTCAGTCGTCCAGGCTTGGCAACTAAGTACCCCAAAACGCAACCAACAAGCGTTGATTTTCTCTGTTTCTGTGGATTCAAGAGCAGTTCAGCTGGGTGATTGGGGCAGCCACCTAATTTGTGGGATCGGTGCAAAATGAAAATGTGGGGACTTTTTTCAAAAATTATTATGAATTTCAAAACAGCAACAGCAGGGCAGGGCCCTCTTGAGCCTGGGGCCTGGGGCAGCTACACAGGTGGCTTGGCCATGAGCTGGCCCTGCCCAGGGCTCCAGAGACAGACAGAGACAGAGACAGACAGAAAGAAAAAGAAAGACAGAGAGAGGCCGAGACAGAGATTGAGACAGACAGACAGAGACAGAGAGACAGCCAGAGATGGAGAGGGAAGGAGAACAAGGAACACAGACAGATATCTTCCCCAAATTGTGGTAAAACATATGTAACAATATTTATCAGTTTAACTATTTTTAAGTGTACAGTTCAGTGGCATTAAGTACATTCACGGCGTTACGTAACCATCGCCCTCATCTGTACTCAAAACTTTTTCATCACCCCAGGGGAAACTCTGCATTCATTAAACACTACCCCGCCCCCACTGCCCCCAGCGCCTGGCACCCACCATTCTACTTTCTGTCTCTATGAATTTGACACCCTGGGAACCTCATCGATGTGGGGACCATACAGCATTTGTGTTTTGGGAACGGGCTTATTTCACTGAGCCTAATGTCCTTAAGGGTCTTCCGTGTTGTAGCAGGTATCAGAATTTCCTTCCTTTTTAAGGCTGAATAATATTCCACTGTGTGTATATTCCACATTGTGTTTATCTCTTCATCCATCAATGGAACTTGGCCTGTTAGCTATCGTGACTAATGCCACCATGAACATGGGTGTCCCAGTCTCTGCTTTCAGTCCTTTGCGGGTATACCTCGCAGTGGATTCTTGGACCATATGGTGGTTCTGTGTTTAATTTTTGAAGTTATGATCCAGTCTGGGAGGGATCAGGCTGTCACCCTGCCTTATTCTGTTTGTTTGGAGGCCACACACGAGAGTGAAGGAGCCAAGCTCCCCTCTTAAAGGAGGCCCAGCAGAGGGTGTGAATGCTTCTCCCGATCAGCACGACGGCACGTGGTGGCTGCTGGCTGCTGGCTGGGCTGTACCATTAGGAGCTGGTACCCGGAGTCAGGCCCTCGGGTAGAAGCTCCCCTCCCAGGGGCTTTAGTTTCTGTTCAGAGACCAGGGGGCACCTGGGCAGAGGAGACAGGTGTGGGCCGGCCTTGGCAGTGTGGGCCCGTCCTGGGAAGCAGGCCCGGGCGTCTGGGGACGGGCATGACCCGCAAGGGCCCTGCTGTGGGCCATGCCCTCCACAGACACGTCTGCACTGTACTCGACTGTCCATGAGGTTGGCTCCCTCCACCCGGGGTCTCAGGAATCCCCTCGTCAGCGCATATTTACGGACACCTACCCCGTGCCAGCAGGAGACTCGGCTGAGGGCAAGGCTACCTCCACCCTCACCTCACTGGTGGGCTGTAGCCACCTCAAGAGGTTGCTGCTCAGCACGTGAGGGTGTCCCAGACTTCCCACACTGCCCCCAGGGACTGTGGGTGACAGAGATTAAGCAGCGCCCGTGGCAGGCAGAATCTTCCACAGCCTTGTTAGAATGGGCCCCATCGGGCGGTGAGCAGAGCCCATCGGCCTTGACTCAGAAGGCAGCCCCCAGCCTCCCTCCAGCCTCCCCTCAGCCTCCCTCAGCCTCCTTCCAGCCTCCCCTCAGCCTCCCTCAGCCTCCTTCCAGCCTCCCCTCAGCCTTCCTTTAGCCTCTCTCTGGCTTCCCCCCAGCTTCCCCTCAGCCCCCCGTCAGCCTCCTCTCTGCACACTGACCCTTTCTCTCCTGGGCCCAGCTCATTGATGGCAAATTCCCACCTCCTGGTTTCTGGGGCTGGAACTGCCTTCCCTTGCAGTATGGTCCAGCCAGGAGCTGGGCGGGTGGGCACCACGGGGGACAATGGCCCTGCGAGGACTTCCTGCCGAGGTGAGGAGGCCAGTGCAGGAGGGGAAGGTGAAAGGTTTCCAGTCTCCAAACGCTCAGGGCCCATGCTGTCGCTCCCCAGCTCTTCCTTCCCAAAGCCCATCATATGATAGGTCACAGGGCCCTGCCCTCCCTCACAGCACAAGGGACCAGGGAGGGGTTCAGGCACAGCTTTGGAAGGGCAGAAGGACCCCCCACCAAGAGCCCCCTGGCCTGGGACTCGGGGTCCTGTCTCTGGAGGAGCTGTGGCCCCAGCAGCAGGAGGCGCATCCTTGGGCTCCCCCGACCCCCTTGTCCCCCTAACCCGGTGCTCCCAGGCCAGACTCTTTCAGGTATTACTGGGACTTTATCTGCCGCCTCTGTATGCCACCCGCAGTGTTATTTACTTACTGTTATTTAAGTAAAATAGATTCTATGACAATTCCTTTCTTGACTTAGTACTGCCTGTGAAATCACGGGTCTGATGTGCTAGGTAGGTTTTCTTCTAAACCATTAAAGTAATGCATAACTATTTTTTAAATGTTAAAACTGTTTAAGTAAAAAGAGTGTCTAACGCCCACGTGGCCTTGACTCCCATGCAGAGCCCCCAGTGTCTCCCAGGGCGAGGCCGAGGGCCCTGCCAGCAGGACCTGGGAACCTGAGCCCCTCTCACCTGCTTGGGGGGCGGGGCCTGCGGGCAGGGTGGCCTCCGCCAGGAAGAAGGCCCAGCAGCACCCCAGACTTATGGACCCCTGAGGCTCCCCTGGGGAAGAGGGATTCCCCTGCATGGGAGGAGAGAAAGGCCCCACGGTGGGGGCGGGGGGGTTCCTCTGGGTCGCTGTCTGCAGGGCTGGCGGGGTGGTGGAGGGTGGACCTCTCCCCTCCATGCCGCCCCTCCACCCCAGGACTTTCTTTGCTTGGAGTTCCAGGGGAGGCTGCTCGGAGGGGCCGATGTGCTGGGCCCCCCGCAGAAAGGAGTCAGCAGGGGGAGGGCTTTTGGTCCCTCAGGGATTTTGCAAGAGGGGCCTCGAGGAGGTCGCAGTGAGCCGGGGGTCTGCTGTGTGTTAGGGAGTTGCAGACCCGCCCGGATGGAGTCGGGGTCCGGGCGCACCTGGGTGGGGTGAGGCTGGACGCCGGGCCCTTGAGCAGAGATCACAGAGAGGGATGGGAGCGGGGGATGGTGAGAGAAGCAGACGTGTGAGCCGAGGCGCCCCCGGAGCCACCCATGCCCCTTCTCCTTGGTGACCAGATGCCCTGACTGCTTGCGTCAGGGGCCTGCCCCCCGGGGGCCAGGCCGTGGCCCGAGGTCAGATTGGGGTTCCTGGTGTGAGGACGCTGCTGGCGGGGCCCTTGGGAAGCCCGGAGCTGGGAGAGGTGGGATGCTGGCCACAAAGCTGGGAGCTAGGGCAGCTTCGAGGGCGTGAGTGAGGGGCTGTGGGCCCCGGGAGAAGCTCTGCTCTTCACCCTTTTGGTGCTGGTGTCCCTATCCCTCGTGGTGGGGGGAGTGAGGCCTAAGGAGCTGAGGGGCGGAGAGGGCCGAGGCTGGTGGAGCAGCAGCTCTGTGGGGGCTCCGAGCCCCCATCCACACTGCTGCTTTGGCCTTGTGTGAGCTGTGTGACCCTCAGCCAGTAACTTACCCTCTCTGTGCACCTGTAACTTCTCGGGATGAGCATACTGCGGGCTCCTGACACAGGAGGCAGGATCCGTCACGTGGGGGGCAGTGTCCAAATGAGCCGTTCCTAGAAATACCTGCTGTTGAGTGCCGGGCGCGTCTTCACCTCGAGGAAAAGGAGGCACTGGGCTTGTGTTCTTTGTGCTGACATCCACTTCGCTGTTCACTCATTCATTCATTCCCTCATTCATTCATTCATCAACTCCTAACCAGCACGGCTCTGGCCAGGCCCTTGTTCCAGGCTCAGGGAGTGAAGAAAACGCACTAAAGCAGAGAGCACGTGTGTGGCGTGGCGCCATCCTACCGACCATGCCGCTTCTGGAATGGGAGCTCAGGGTCTGACCTTTGGAAGTGACGCCGCACAGGGCCCTGGGCAGGTGGTCCTCTGCCCGGGGGTCCCTGCCCCCTCAGCCTGGCCCGAGAGGCTGGCGATGGCGCCCTCCGCACTCCTCTCCCATGAAGTCCCTGGACAGCTCCTTTCCAGACCTGGTGGTGTGGGCCTTCGTCCCTGCACCGCTAGCCCCATCCCTGCTGCGTCTGGGAGCAGGGGACCCAGCGGGGGCTGAGAGGGGTCAGGGTCTCCCTCTGGCAGAGGAAAGGAAAGGCAAGACCACACCCCTGAGGCCCTTGGATGCTGGCCTGGGGCCGGCCGGCCTGCAGGGCCTACGCTCACCCCTCGGGCTCTGCCTGCAGCATCCCCCGGGCCCTGCCCAGCCCGGGCTGTGGGAAGCCCCAGGCCTCGACCCTCCTCCTTGGAGCGCTTGTGCTACTGGCCATGGGACTGGACGGGTCGGAGGCGGGCTGGGCGGCGTGGGTAGGCCCCGGGCTGCTTCCCACGCTCACGGCCTCTCCCATCCCCACAGTGCGTCTCCACGACAGCATCTCCGAGGAAGGCTTCCACTACCTGGTCTTCGATCTGTAAGTGCCGGAGCCTAGGGACTTGTTCTCTCATCTGCTCCCAGCGTTGGGCTGGGCTGGGACCCTTGGTCTCCCCAGCCCTTGCGGGCAGTCCTCCGCCTCCTGGGTAGCCTCGCCCCCAGCCGCGTGGGCCAGCCTCCCTCGGCTCTGCTCTTAGCTTGTTGGCTTTGCGCTGGCGCACAGAGTCCCAGGGGGATGGGCCTGCCCGGCTGGTCCCCTCCCCCACACAGAAGGGCCTGCTGGAGGCTGGGGCGGAGGGGAGGGAGGGAGGGGAGGACCCCCGGAGGAACGGGCCCTCGGTCTTCCTTCCCCTTCCTTCCCCTGGCTGGGACCCACCGGCTGGCGTGAGCATTTGTGTGTGTGCATGTGTGTGCAAGAGTGCCTCTGGGTTTATGATTGCGTGGATGCATTTGTGTATGTTGATGAATGGGCACGTGTGCGTGTGATTTGTGGGGGCGTGTACGTGTGTACACATGTGTACGTGATTTGTGGAAGGGTGTGCACAAGAGTGCCTGTGTGTTATGAGTGTGCAGGTGTGGGTTTCAGTGTGTGCACGTATGTGAGTGTGATTACAGGAACACATGTATGTGTGTGGTTTATGTGCATGGGTGTGTGTGTGGTGTGTGTATGTGTGAGAACATGTGTATGAGTTGGGGTGTGGACATGCACGTGTGTGTGCATGTCCATGGGTGCATGTGTGCACACACATGTGGCTTGTGGGTGTGCATGTGCACCCACATGTGCGTGTCTGTGTACACGTGCATATGATTTATGGGGTGCTCGCGTGCATGTGTGTGCACGCATGCATGCGTGTGTGGCGCTAAGTGAGAGCGTCTGGGGTCTTTGCTGCCTCTCACTTCCTGCTGGATTTAGAAGCGGTGATCTCATCCCCTCACTTCCCGACAGCTCCGGCTGAGTGCTGCTATATTTAGCTGTCTGTGAGTCAGCAGAGCTCAGGACCCTGGGGTGGGCAGGGGCTGTAGCTTTGGGGTGGCTCTGTGTGGCCTCCACGAAGCCCAGCCTGGGGGCTGTGGCCATGGGGGCAGGGCGCGTCTCCATGGGAAGCTCCTCCCTCAAACGACAGATGCCTCGGCCATGGGGGCGTGGAGGCCTGAACCCCTGGCCCACGCGGGGTCCTTTGGCCAGGAGAGGCCTACAGGAGCTGGGCCACCTCTCGGTCCCCCTGTGTCCCACAAGACACCACTTCAAGTCACCAACTGGGTGACCAGGGCCGACCTGTGACACAGCTGCCGCTGCTGGGCCGAGGCTGTGCCCTGAAACGTCTGTCGCCTGGCCCCTGTGGAGGTGGCAAGCTTGCTGTCACCCCCGTGGGCCCCCAGACCCACCCAGTTCCACCAGCCTCTTTTCCAGGAAATACAGAGGCCCCCGGGCTGGAGGGTGGCCATGTACGGGCCCCTGGTGGCCGACAGGTGGGTGGGTATGTGAGATTCAGGAGTGGACAAGGTGGGAGAGAATGGTGTGCGTGTGTGTGTACGTGTGTGCACACTCGTGCATGTGAGTGCGTGCACGCGTGTGAGAGGGTCTTGAATCTGCTGCCCCACACAACAGGCAGGTGTGGGGAGAGGCTCTGAGCAGGGCTGGAGAGAGGAAACTGGCTGGTGTTTTTGGAGAGGGTGACGAGGAGGGGGGACCTGGGCCTTGCACATCCTCCCCCCAAACCTCTGTGGCCCCCAGGCCTGTTGAAATTCCCACTCTGCAGCATCCAGGACAGCCCTAGGCCTCAGGCAGCTGTTTGGGGGGGCAGGGAAGGCCTGCGCAGGGGGCTGCTGAGGGAGGGGTAGGACTGGAGGCATGGAGATGCCCCCCACCCTGCGCACAGCCTTCCTGTGCCACTCTGCATCCCCTCTGCCACTCTGTAGCCCCAGAATTGGGGAGACGTTTCTGGCCTGGGTTGGCCTCACCTTCAGGAAGGCCCAGGCCCTTTGGCAGTTTGGGGGCTCTGTGGATTTGGAGATTGACAGGTTTCCCCACTCCCCATGCCTCAGAATGTCACTTGGCTTTGGGGACCAGGCCTGGGAACAGAGGAGAGGGCTCTCCCAGGGGCTGTGACTGCAGCCCAGAACTAGCCATGCTGTCTGGCCGGAGCCTGAGGAAAGGGAGAACACTGGCCTCCAGACCAGGCCCTTCCCGGCCAGCTCGAGATGCCAGCCCCCTGCAGCCAACTCCCTGACCTACAGCTCTGGACCACAAGGCCCCAGATGCACAGACTGAAGCCTCCTGTGGATGCAAGGACCCAGAGGGCCTGTCCCCAGCCCCAGGTGGAGCCTCCTGGGGGGGCTCCCTGTGCCCCTGCTACAGCCCCGAGCAATACCTGTGGCCTTTCCCCCTCTGCCCTATGCTTGGACTCAGGGTCTGCAGAGCCTGACCTGTGAGCTGTGTGTGCAGAGAGAGAAGCAGTGAGTCCCACTCCCTTGGGCTGGACGTAGAACCTCATCCTCCCGCTTCACACACACACGTGTGCACGCAGACGCGTGAGGCTCTGCTCCCTCGGGCGGTCACCTGCTCTGAGCCTGAGCCTCTGCGGGTGGCAGAGTGGGACCCTAAAAGCTCCCCCAAGTCCCAGGCTTGTTGGGAGCCTGACAGGATCTGAGGGCCAGCATCTATCCTCGAGTGGGAGCATGCCAACACCCAGTGCATCCTCGTTTTTGTGTTTCTCTAACACTAAGAGAGAGCCCGCCCATGCCGGGGCCACTGTCCAGCAGGGCCTATGCCTGTGGTCGCTGAGTGCTGGGCACAAAATGAAGCCAGCCCAAGCCCCAACTTCGAGAACTAATGGGAACTGAGATGCAAATGGAGAGATCACAGTGCATGAGGCCAGCGCAGCTGCAGGTGGAGAGAGGGTGTGGCTGCGGAGGGAGTGTCCCTCGGTGTCCCCACAGGACACAGGAGGGAGACTCTGGACCACACAGGGGTACAAAAGCCCTAGATGGAGACTTCCGGTGGACTCAGGGCTTGCCGGTGGAGTGAAGGGCTTGGGCGGACCCAGGGATGGCTCCTCCCTGCTCCCCCGTGCATCTGTCCCTCAGCCCTGCTTTTCACCTTGCTGTCCACGCCCACATTTCCCAGCCCAGGGGATCTAGTCATTCTGGCAAGCGACACATGGCAAGAGGGTGTGTGGACAGAGGTCCCACTCTCCTTCTGGAAGTGGGGCTTTGAACACGTCGTGCCCTCGCCCACCAGGGAGGCCAGCTCCAGGCACCGTCTCTTCTGCCCCTGTGCCCTGTGTGTGGGCCGCATCCCTGGCCTTGGGGGGTTTGACAAGGGAGAACCGGAATTAGTCACAGGGCCTGGGTAACAGTGAAGAGGCCTGGCTCAGACTCCGGGGCTGCCTGAGCGCAAACTCTGGGAAAGTCCCTGAGATCATCGAGACTCAGTTTTCTGAGCTTAAGAGTGCCAGTGTCATGGAGGGGGTGTGAAGGCTAAAATGTGAAGTACCGCCCTATGTGAGTAAGCGTTCGGTAAGCTGTCAGTCCCGGGTGACGCTGGAGACGGGGCGGAGGCGGTGGTGGTGAGGACGGTGGGACTGGTGGCTGTGGAGGTGAAGACGGCGGTGCTGCCGGCGGTGGTGACGAGCAGGTGGCGATGGAGGTGACAGGGCGGCCTCCGTGTGCTTTTCCCACAGGGTCACCGGCGGGGAGCTCTTTGAGGACATCGTGGCGAGAGAGTACTACAGCGAGGCAGACGCCAGGTGGGTGCAGAGCCCTCACACTGTCCTGGCCCCTCTTCTCCTGCCTGGCCTTCCCTCTCAAAGCCTGGCTCCTGCCCCTCTGGCCCACATCTGCTCTCATGCACATTGTCCCTGACATGGCCTGGGCCGACGGTCCACTGGGCAGAAGTGTCAGTCTGCCCGCCTGGCGGACGCCTGCCCCGTCTCCCCTGGGGTGGGGGGGAACTGGCCCACGGAGGGGCTCTCCTTGGGGTAGCTGGTGGGGGGAGAGCAGACAGAGCATGCTGGTGGGCATCCTCCTGCCCTTCCCTTGGACTTGGTCAGCCCTCATGGTGGTCGAAGGGGACCGACCTTCTCAGAGATACCATCTGCAGTGCAGCTGCTGGGAGATAGCAGGGCCCTTCCCCCCAGAAGGGCAGGCCTCCCGTGACCTGCTCTGGCCCGTGCTGTGGGCCAGATGCCACCCCGACCCGTGACAGGTGTGTCACTCCTGACAGCGCATCTCAGCTTGGAGATGGCTGCGGGCCACCAATCCCGGCCCGCCCGGCCCGCCCAGCTCCCAAGGACACACGCGTTTAAAAGAAAAAGAAAAGAGGCCAACAGTGGCCCTCTCTAGGCGGTGGAGTTACGGATGCTTTTAAATTTTTTAATCTTCTTCGTCTATTTAAAAATTTTTCTTTAATGAATATGTATTCCTTTTCTAATCAAGAAAATGAACGTTATTTTAACAAGTAGCTTTTTGTGACTTGCTTCTGCACCCCCAGGCAACCTTGCCCGTCGGTGACAGCCTGGGTCCCCGTGAGAATATGTGAGTGGGCCCCTGGTGTCACCCGGGCGCCCACAGAGCTGGGCAGGAGGAGGCTGGGGGCCTGGCGGGCGCTGGCGTGGAGTGCTGGAGCCGGGGTGAGCTGGGGTGTCAGGGCACTGGCTGCTTTTCTTAGGCTCCTTGAGGAAGGGCTTTCATTTTGCACAGCAGCCTGGGAACGACCCGTTCCCTCCGAGAGCAGGAAGTCTCCATTTTTATTTCCTACTTATAAGAAAAGTAGAAAGTAGAACAGAGGCACCTCCTGCTGCTCTGAGATGCTTGGGCGGGAATGTCCCAAGTATGCGTGCCTGCCTGCTGGGTGGAGCCAGAGCCCCAGACCCGGGGTCCTGACATCTGTCAGGGCAGGACAGGAGAGGAGGTCCCCAGCGGCTGCCCCCAGGTCGGGCCCCAGGGCCCGCAGCCAGGGCAGCGCTGGGGCCAGGAGGGCTGCCTTCCAGCGGTACCGGGGCGCCTCGGGGGGCGCTTGCCTTCACCGTCCTCGTCCCACCCCCGCCTGGAGCGTCCTGCCAGGGCTCCTCGGTTCTCAGCACCCACCGCTGGGCACGGCCCAGGGCCTGGCAGCCTCCCGCGCTCTGTGGTTGGTGGTCTCGCTGGAGGGGGACGTGGCCCACAGCAGAGCCCTGCTCTTGGCTGGGAGCCCCCAGTGCCCACCTCTTCCCCATATGCCCGACGGCCACACTCCCTCACCTGCCACGTCCCCCACGCGTGCCCCGTCCCCCCAACACCTGTGTCCTCGGAGCTCCTCCCTTGCCCACTCTCACCTGCCTCCAACCTCATCTTCTCCGATGACTGCTTCTGCCTCCGCCCCCACTCCCCAATTCTGTGGCTCCCTCCTGGCCGGCATCCTGACCTTCCTGCCTGGGCCTCCCTTGTGGAGGCTCTCCTGGCGTTTGGGGCCCCACCCACAAATACCTAGTTTCCTCTCACAGACTCAACCTTGCTCATAGCCAGACTACCAGGGGGGCGAGAGGGAGCGAGGGACACTCTTGGGGATCCCTTCCAGCTGGCCTCACTCGTTAAACCCGCACCTCAGGCTGCCCCTTTTCCCGGGAGTCCTGGACCCTGGAAGCGTGCTTTTGACCTTTGTGTCGGTGCTTAGCCTTCGGGCAGGACGGCCTGAGAGAGTGACGTGGATGCCCACGTGGGTGGGTCTCCCACGGGCATCGTCAGGAACTGTGGCAGATGGGGTAAAGGCTTTCTCTCGCCCTGGGAGGGTGTTCCCCCAGGACCCCCAGTGAAAGGGGCCTGGGCTCTGCTGAGGCTGGAGCCCTAGACGCCCGGCCGTGGTGGTGGGCACCTTCCCGGCCAGCGTGCAGGCCTGGCCCCCGCCAAATGCGTCAGCCACCCTTCCAGTGGCCTGCCCGGGGCCGTCTGCTCAAAGCTGAGCAAGTGATGAATTTCCAACGTGTCACGTCTCTAGAGGAAGAGGAAGCAGGGCAGGAGTTGCTTTTCTGAACCTTTTTCTAACCGAGAAGGCTGGAGATTCCTCTGAGGAAGAAGTGGGATCTTTATTTTGGAGTTTGTGGGGAAAAGGAGGGGTCTTTTTCAAACCTGGGAAAGCAAAAAGTTCAAAATATTTAGAGCCCATTTTTAAAAACCCTGAAAAGCAATATGGCTCATGAGGGATGCTTATGGGGGCCCGTGAGAAGGCTGGCTGTCCCAGGGAGGGGGCAAGGGGGGAGGGGAGGAGGGGGGAGGGGCACATCTGAGGTGACAGCAGAGCCCAGAACCATGAGAATAACGTCCAGGACCCGGCCAGCGTCTGGAATGCCGCTTGGGAACAATTCTGACCACAAAAGTGACTTTCTGAGTTGTTCAGAATATGAAAAAAGGCCCCACGAGGAAGGCGGTACGATGTAAATGGCAGGCAGAAGGGAGGCAGGACCTCATGACTGGCCAGGCGGCCTCATGTCCTCCAAGGCCGTGGTCTCAGCCGGGAGACCAGGGCGAGAGCAGGGTGACGAGGGCCCCGGGAGCGGCCCCCCAGAGGTCCCTGGAGGGTGGGCTAGCTGGAATGGGCCGCTCTCCAGGCAGGTGGTGTCCACCTGCAGGCCGCAGAGGCCATGCCACGTCGGTCCCAGAGATGCTGTGAAGAATAGGCCCGGGAGACAGGCGAGCAGCGTTGCCGCACTGGCTGTGGGGAGGGGGTGAGCAGACCTGCACCGTTTTCTCTTGGGGAACGTGGTTTGCTTGGCCAGCTCATTTGTGAGTACTGGGGGCTAAGCCAGCACATCTCTCCATCAGGGCGGCCACGAAGCGACCTGAGCAGGGCCTGCGGGCTGGGCGGACAGGGGCTGCATCAGAGCTGTAGGGCTGGATTTCAGCCAACGGGCTGAGTTCTGTGATGCTCAGGGAGACATGCTGGCTCAGCAGGAGCAGTCACCCCATCTCTGGCGCTGGTTTGGGGCCCTGCATCCCCAAGAGGAGACGCGGGGGAGGGCAGAGGGCACAGCCCACCCCCATCTGAGCTGACGTATCGGTGCTGCGGCCGATGGATCCCTGGGTCCGAGAGACGTTTGGGGAACACGTTCCTACAAGGCTGGGCCTGAGGACACAATCGAGGGGAAAGAACCGACATGTCCCTGTGGTCATGGAGGCCACAGTCCGGAGCAGAGACGGATGCTGCCCAGACGCCCACACAGAGCGCAGGGCTGCCGCGTGACTGCAGTGGGGACGACGGGGGTGCCTCACGCTCGCTCGACACGGAGGAGAGTCCAGAGGGCGTCCTGGGGTTGAGAGCGGGGCAAGCTCACAAGGGTGGAGGAAGAAGAGGGGCTCGGCCCGAAGCTCAAGACTTGCAGGGCTCTCGGCAGGCCTGAGCTTGGAGCCAGATCGTTCCAGGGCTTTCGGGGAGTGGCCAGTGGCCCAGGAGATGCCGGCCCTTGGGCTGTGAGGGCTGCTGATGCGCTGGAGGGAGGGGCAGGCTACCACGGGGATGGCAGGGCACACGGCACACGGCTGGGACAGGTGTCCCCCGGGGCAGAACCAGGGTCTGGCTGCAGCGGCACAGGCGGGGGCTGGTCTGCCCCAGGGTCCCCGAGGCCCTGTATGGGGTCGGGTGCTGCAGCGTGTGGGTGATCCAGGGACTCGAGGCTGAGCTCCGGGAGGATGCATTGGTGCCCCAAGCACGCCTCCCCAGGGCTCTGGGTTTGCCAGGGAGCCGCAGATTCCCGGGGACTGGGAAAGCCAGAGTCCCCTGCCCCGGGCCCTGGCTCAGTGGCCTCAGCTACAAGTGCTGGGCCTTTATCTGGCCTCTGTCTCCACCCAGCAGCCTGTCCTGGCCTCAAAAGAGCTTCCCCGACCTCATGGCTGAGCTCTGCCCACGAGGAGGGAAGCCCCTGAGTGGGTCAGCCTGGGTGGCGGGAGGGGTGCTGAGCTCGTGTCTGCAGTCACGGGAGGGCTGGTGGTGGCTGGGTGTGGAGCTGGGGATGCAAGGATGGGGGTGAGGACCACAAAGGATTGTTCCTGGCAGATGAGGACGTTGTGGGAGGGGCAGGAGTGGGGAGGGAGGCGCTGGGAGCAGGTTGGGCAGGAGAGCTCAGGGCGTGGGGCAGGGATGGGTTTTCCAGCCCCTAGAGGCACCTAAGGGCAGGGGGTGCTGGGGGACTGTCGCCCACAGGTTTGGGCCTGGCTCCTCTTGACCCCTGCAAACCTCAGGAATCCATCATCAGGATTCTGAGGTCTAGGTTTCCGCAGGGGGGAACTCAGGTTTACTTTTCTATGCAGCAGGTGGGCTCCAGATGTGGCCAGAGGTATTTGAGGAAGAGGCCTGGTCCCCTGTCCCTTCTCTGAGTTTGCTGTTAGGAAAACGAAGCGCACCCCTCCAGCTGACCTTCAGTCACCCCACAGGGTCCAGCCATGGCAGGAAGGGCCCTGAGGGAGTCTGCCTGTGCATCCCTCATCCCCACCCAGAGGGGCTGTGGTTGAGACCCCAGGGGGTGAGCTCCAGGGAGCCTGTGGCCCTCCTGTCTCCCGTGGCTGGTAACGCTGCAGGGCTGCTGTGGGAGCCCAGGGTCTGTGCCTGGCTTTGGGGGCAGCTGGAAACTTTCCAGTCCCCTGGGGCCACCTGGGGGAGGCAGGCTCAGGCCACAGGGGCTGGGGGCATCTAGGTCTGATGTTCAGGGCACGTTGCTGAAGCACCGGTGTTGGAGGCGCCTGAGGAGAGCTGGGTCTCTCCCTCCAGCCAGTAATACCCTGGAGGGCTCGGGACTTCTCCCGGCTCTGGAAGGAAGCCCCTGGCTTGGGGCCCTGGGCTGTGCCCGGCTGCCTCTTCGCCAGGAGCGCATCCGGGACCCCAGGGCTGCTAAGGAGCTGAGCTGTCTAGCGCGGCAGCCAGCAGCCAGTGTGGATGTTCAAGTTTATTCAAATGAAATGACCCCTGCCCTAGCACATGAGTGACTGGAGGCTGCAGCATTAGCGCTGCCCCAGAACAGAGGGGGACCCTAGTGGCCAGGGCGTCACCCCACACTGCGGCACTGGCCTGCCCTCTCCCTCTCGCCCTCTCACCTCTGCCCTTTCCTGCCCGGGTTCCCCCATCTCCAGCCTGCCTTGCAGGGTGTGGGTTCAGGCCGGGCCTCCCTCCCGCAGGGTGCCCAGCTCAGGTCCAGGCTTGGCCAGCATGAGCCTGGGGAGGAGGGCCCTGGGGCCAGGCGTGTCTCCTCTGAGCAGCACTTCCAAGGGCCTGGCCCGAGGGGAAGGCAGGGTGGGGGGTGCAGGGGGCCTGGCCGGGCCTTGTGCTGACCTTTGGGGGTGAGGAAGGCTCCTCAGAGGTCCCCTCCTGGCCAGTGTCTCCTCTCCCATGTGGCAGGCCGCACCTTGATTCCCTGCTTCCCCGCGGCCCCCTGCCAGGCTGGGGACCACCCCCCACAGTGCCACACAGCACCCTGCTCCTGCGCCCCCGCCCACTCTTCGGGGGCCACCCGCACTAACGCGCCTGCTGTTTGCTTCAGTCACTGCATCCAGCAGATCCTGGAGGCGGTTCTCCATTGCCACCAAATGGGGGTTGTCCACAGGGACCTCAAGGTGAGTCCCCCACCGTGCTCTGTGCCAGGTGTTTGTTGTCTGTAACTGCATGTTGCGTTTAACAGGGGGCTCTGGGCTGGGGCATTGCGAGCGCCAGGAGACACTGTGTGTGTGGGACGTGTGCACGTGCGTGTGAAAATGCATGCATGTGAGAGTGTGTGCGTGTGCGTCAGCACGTGTGTGAGCACCTGTGTGTGTGTGAAGGTGTGTGCATACGAGAATGTGGGTCTGTGTGCACATGTGTATGTGTGTGTGCCTGTGTGGGCACAGGTGTATATGTGCTCACACGCACATGTGTGTATATGTGTGTGGGAGCATCGTGTGCATGTGCGTTTGTGCATGTGTGAGAGAATATGTGCATGTGTGCATGTGTGCACATCTGTGTGCGTGGTGTCTGTGTGTGTGCACGCATGCATGTATTTGCACACGTCCCTCCCAACACCTCTAGGCTCTGGGGCTGAGAGGGGACAGTTGTCAAAAATCAGCCTATTAACACGTGTCCACTCGGGGTCTCGCTTTCTGGGCTCCGGTTGAGATTCGGACCTGGCAGGTGGGACACAGGTGATGTGCGTGCAGGTGGGGCTGATGCCTCGGGAGCAGGGGCTGAGGGACCAGCCTGGATGGTCTCTGCAAACTTCCAGCCCTTTCTTCTAGTGGCCCTTGGCTCAGCTCTGGGCAAAGTGACCATAGAGCATTTAAAACAAGGTTTGTCACCCACAGGGCTCAGTGCGGTGGGAGGGTCTTCAGGAGGAGCTACACCCCATCCTCCTGCCTTCCTCCCTCCTTTCCCCCTCCCTCCCCCTCCGCCCTCCTCCTCCTCTCAATTTCTCCTCCTTTCTTTGATTTTAGCTTTCTTCAAGTCTGGGTTTGGGTCAGTTTCTTCTATTGGGGGGTGGGGGGACCCCTGGGCCTGTCATCCCTGCTAAGAGACCTGCTGGTGGTGTTTGAGACCAACTTTCCCATGGGTGCTCGGGCTGAACGGGGTCACGCCCTTCCTTGGGCCACCGAGGGGTGTGTGTCTGTGAGCTAATCTTTGTGGGGCTGCTGTTGGAATGTTGTCCTGCCAGGAGCAAGCCCAGGACCCTCTCCTGTGCCCTTCAGGTTCCCGCTCTCTCTCTGCATGTGCCGTGTGGTCCCCTGTCCTTTCACATGCCCACCCAGGCCCGCCGTGTCTGCCTGTCCTGTGGGTCCCCCTCTGTCGCTGTGTCTTGTCTGAATCGGCCTCATTGAGGGCCTCTGGGAGGAGGGGCTGCAGGGGAGTGGGCGCGCATCCCCCCTTGACTATGGACCCCGTGATGCATAAGTAACTTGGAGGCCAAAGCACACAAATGGAGATGGATGCTCCCCCCAGGCCAGGTGTGCCCTGGGGGCAAACAGAATCCTTGCCGAAAAGAAGAAAAGGGGGCAGGAGTCTGCCAGGTGTCGGGGGAGCAGACTGCCCCTCCTCTAGAGAGGCCTCCACCATCATGACTGAGACAGCCCCCCAGAAGCGGTGCTGTGGTGGGTGTCCTCTCAGCCAAGGTGTGGAGGGTGGAGAGAGTGGAGGGGGCTGGTGCCATTTCAGGGTGCTGCGAGGGAGCCAGGGTGGAGCCCGGGGCCAGGGCATCACTGTTCGGACCCAACTGGCTCCCCTGCCTCTCGCCCCGCCCGGCCCCGACCCTTCTTGTCCAGCTCTTCCCAGGGACCAAGTTCACTTAGCTCCTTCTTCCTGGGGAGGAGTGCTGGTTTGTTTCCTCGGGGTGGGGGTATCTGAGCTGTAGAAGTCAGGTCAAGCCCCCAGCTGCAGTCCCTGACTCCTACGATTTCAGACTTCTTTTTTAAATTTAGTTTAAAAAATTGAAATATAGTTGATTTACAATGTTGTGTTTATTTCAGACTTCTTGATATGGGGTGTGTGGAGAGGTTGGGGTCCCCTTGCCCCACGCATATTTGCAAAATCAAGGTGTTCAGAGGCGGGCTTCCCTGGTGGTCCAGTGGTTAAGATTCCGTGCTTCTAATGCAGGGGGCGCGGGTTCAATCCCTGGACGGGGAAGTTCCATATGGCGTGCGCTGTGGCCAAAAGAGTTGATGGGACATGCATTAAGAAATAAACTTTAAAAAAGGAAGAAAAGGGGAGTATTAAAAAAAAGAAAGACCAATAATCCAAAAAAAAAAAAAAAGATGTTCAGAGGCCTCCAGGCCGTGCTGGGCAGACAGGGCTGAGTGTCCCCAGCGCACATCACCTGGAGGGACAGCACCTCGTCCAGCCAGCTGTGTGTGGGCCTGGAAGAACTGGTTTCTGCTGGGTGGGGCTGGCGTACTTCATCTCTTCCACGTGTGTCGTCCTAACACCGCAGGTGTACAAGCGGTGTTAACTCAGTTCGGTTGGTGGTGTTTGTCTTTCTTGGTGGCACCAAAGTGGCAGTGTGGTCTCAGCGGGCCTTCCCGTCGGGAGGGTGGCCTGGCGAGGGTGCCGAGGGCCCAGAGAGGCATGAGTAAGTCCAGCGGCTTTGAGCTCTGAGCGCTGACTGCTGGGAGGTCGTGAGGCTGGTGGGATAGGCTGGGATGGGAGGGGCCCAGCGCACAGGGACCCCCTCGGGCCTTCGGGGCCAAATGTCCCCAATCAGGGGGCAGCAGCCTCGGTGCTCCAGTGGGACAGGGATGAATGTCCTTCCAGCTTGAGCAAGGGCGCTGCTGCCCGACTCAGGGAGGTCTGCATGGGACCTTTCCCACCTGCGGTCAAGGCAGGCCCCCTCTGGCCAGCATGGGGCCGCTGGGACTTGGTGGACAGACGTCCTGCACTGCCAGGCTCTCGGGGCCCTCCGTTGTTCCTTCCTGCGCTTTGAGGGCTGCCGTCCTGCCAGCAGCGCCTGAGCGCTCCGGCAGGCAGTTGTCTGTGCAGCCAGCCGTGGTGAAGGGAGGGAAGCCCCTCTGCCGGTGGAAGTCCCGGGCCCCCGCACAGCCTGCCAGGGCCTGTAGGGTGCGCTCTGTTTTTGGTCCCAGCGCCCTGAGTTCACAAGCTTGCGCTTTGAAAGCCAGCTTCCCTCAGCTCTGGGGCGCCTGTCCCTGCCCCCCGGGGGTGCGGGGCAGGGACAGACTGCGGGGTGCAGGCCCGGCGGGGCCCAGAGCTCTGGGATACGCCCAAGCCAAGGGTGTCAGCTGTGCTGGGGGGACACCCACGTGGTGGCGGGTCAGGCCTGTGTGCCCCTGTCTGCAAAGCACTATTTTGTCCCCCTCCCTCCCGTGACACCCCCCGGGTGTAAACCACATGCTCTCGGGCTGGTCGCCTTCCCCGCAGCCCGAGAACCTGCTTCTGGCCAGCAAGTGCAAAGGGGCCGCAGTGAAGCTGGCGGACTTCGGCCTGGCTATCGAGGTGCAGGGGGACCAGCAGGCCTGGTTTGGTGAGTAGCCGGCTGGCCGGCCGGGGGCCAGGCTGGGGGCACCAGCTGCCCCCGGAGCCCCTCACACGGCCCTTTCCCCTCCCGCTAGGGTTCGCTGGCACGCCAGGCTACCTGTCCCCAGAGGTGCTGCGCAAGGAGGCGTACGGCAAGCCGGTGGACATCTGGGCGTGCGGTGAGGCTGGTGTGCGGGGCGGGGTAGGGCCGCAGGGCCACTGTGAGGGACCCGCCGCTGGGCTGACTCACAGGGCTGCCCCCCGCTAGGAGCGCCCTCTCCACCCAGACTGGAGTCGCTAATGCGATCCTGGCTGTTGCTGAGAAGCCACCACCCCAGCACCTGCCCCGCGCTCTGCAGAGCGGTCTGGAGGAGGAGCGGCAGGTGCCCGGGTGGTGGATGGATGCTGGAGGGCTGGAGACCGTGCACACCACCCTGGCGGGGCCTGTCCTCTGCGCGGCGGAGGGGGCCGGCCTCGGGCCTCTCCTGGGAAGTAGGGTGAGGGTAGAGCAGAGGTGAAGGAGATGTATATGCCATTCCGCCGTCAGGGTCTCAAACAGTGAAACTTGCTGACGCTGGCTGCGGGGGCCGGGGGGGGGGTCCCACTGGACCTTGAGGGTCCCGGTGTTCTCATGGGGCTTGCTGGCTTCGGGCAGTGACCCCCACCCTAGCTGATGCTGAGAAACTGGCTGAGGGTCCCCTAGCTGTCAGGCGGCAGAGCTGTGCATATGACCCCCACGCCGGGGGTCACACAGCTGACCCCACGCAGCAGCGCCCCACTGGCTTGTGGCCGCGCTGTGGGCTCCATGGGCTGGGGCTGAGCCACTGGGCGCAGGCGGTGAGGGCGGCAGTGCGAGGCCCTGCACTTGCGTTCCCTGCAGGGGTGATCCTGTACATCTTGCTGGTGGGCTACCCACCCTTCTGGGACGAGGACCAGCACAAGCTGTACCAGCAGATCAAGGCCGGGGCCTATGACGTGAGTGCCGGGACCCCCCCGACCCTCCCCATCTGGGGGAGGCAGAGGCAGGGAGCGGGGTGACGCCGCCCGTTTCCAGATGAGGCCCCCCCTCGGAGAATTCTGTCTTCTGCCTGGGAAGGGGGCTTTAGGTTCCCTTGTGCGTGGCTTCCCTTCGTAGTTCCCATCCCCGGAGTGGGACACGGTCACTCCTGAAGCCAAAAACCTCATCAACCAGATGTTAACCATCAACCCTGCCAAGCGCATCACGGCGCACGAGGCGCTGAAGCACCCGTGGGTCTGCGTAAGTCACCCCAGCCTAGGACCACCCCCTGGCGCGTTGACCCTGGCGCACTCTCCTCGCATCCAGTGGGCCCCCTGGTTTCCCGGGGGCTGCGTGGCCTGTGGCTTTAAGGCTGGCGGGTTTAAAGACCTTAGTCCCTGGGAGACTAAGGAGCTCCGTGGAAAGAGGAGGCCCAGTCCAGGGCGTGAGGGGATAGAGTAGCGAGGCGGGTGAGGGACAGGTGGCGGGGCGGACGGGCCATGAGGGGTGACGGGCTGGGGGGTTAGGCAAGCAGCGGGGACAGGTGGCCTCTGGCTGCAGTGGGCGGCCGGCAGCTCTTGGCACAAGGGCCCTGGGGGTGCTGCTGCCCCGAGCCTTGCCCCAAGCCCCCTCTTTAGAGCCCCGCCTTGGGGACAGAGCTGATGCCCCTCAGGGCTCCTTGCAGCGTGTGACCCCCTCCTCCCTCCCCCCTCCCCACAGCAACGCTCCACTGTGGCCTCCATGATGCACAGGCAGGAGACCGTGGAGTGCCTGAAAAAGTTCAATGCCCGGCGGAAGCTCAAGGTGAGATGCCGACCCCAGTGAGGGCCAGGGTGCCACGCTAGGCACGCGTGCTCACCCACCCAGAGGGGCCGAGGGCCCTGCCCTGGGAGCAGCTGGAGGGGCTCGGGCAGGCCTGTGGGGGTCCCAGTCACCTAGGATGGGCTGCTCGTCAGCGCCGTCCCAGACTAGACCCCCCATGGCAACAACACCAGAGGTGCCCAGACGTGAGCCTGGCCCCCAGGTGCACAGCTGGTCCCTCCTCAGCCGCCCACGCCACCCATGAGGCATTCCTGGGGCTCCCTGGGGGGAAAGGCGCCCTGTGGTCAGTCATACTCTCTGAGCGGGAGAAGGCTGAGAAGCTTCTGACCTGGGGCAGATTTGGTCAGGAGATCAGCTGAGCTCTGCTGCTTGTGTGGGCAGGGGGAGGGCGGGAGGGAGGGCGGAGGGCCCTGGGCAGGGAGGCCGTTGGGCGCCAGGCCCGTCCTCCCGACAGGCTGCTCTGTGCTGAGAGTGTCCAGGCCTGGCGGCTGGCGTGCACGTGCCTGTCAGGGAGAGGAGGCGCCATGGGGAGAGGCAGACCCCCAGCTGCAGCCCTGGGGGGTCTTGACGCCTTTAAAAGCTGGGCTCAGTGGGCAGTTTAGGACCTGGGGTGCGTCCCTGTTTTAATGCTGGACGTGGGTGGCATGTCTGGGTGCAGCTGCCTCTCTGCGAGGCCGTAACTCGAGGTGCGGGCGGGGGTCTCCGCCTGGCCTCAGCTGTGTGTGTCTCCCCAGGGCGCGATCCTCACCACCATGCTGGCCACGCGGAATTTCTCAGGTGAGTAGAGCCTTCTCCAGGAGGAGCAGGCCTACGGCGGGAAGGCTGGGGAACGACCCGCCACCAGCTGCCTGCCGTGTCCTCACCCCACTGTCCCCTCCTCTGCTGCTGGCCCGGCCCGACCTTCCGCCCTCTGAGACCCTCGGGCCACAGAGGAGGCCTGGGCTACGGCCGGGCCCCGTGAGGGCACGTCCCTGAGTGTTGGGTCTGTGTCTGAGCTGCCCGCCGGCCGGGCCGCAGCTCCGTGTGTCTGTCCAGGCGTTGGTCGGCACCTCTGTGGCCTCGTTGTTGTCCTGAATCCTCTGAGCACCCGTTCTGTGTGTGGGTTAGGGGGCGGCTAGAGGAGGCTCCGGATACTCTGGCTGGCGGCCGCCCACCCGGGCGCCGAGGGTGGGCAGGGCTGGGGGTGTGCGGCCGCTCTGGGGGGCTGTCGGCGACCCTGAGGCCATGGGCCCAGGCAGGCCCAGCGGGGACAGCGTCACCCGAGCGGGGCCGCTGCCCCCTGGCGCTCCTGTGGCTTGTCTGTGGCCTGCGATGCTGGTGCGGGTGCGTCTGTGGTCCGTCCTCGTTGTCCGTTTGCATCAGCACGCGCCCCATCCTGTTACTTTTGCTGTGACGCTGTGCTGCTGGGCTGGGGGGCATGCTGTCACACCAATACTGATAGGACGTGTCCTGTCCGCACGCCCAGCCCGGCACCCGGAAGGCCCCGCTGGGGTTTTCCAAGGAGAAAGGAGGCAAATGCTTTTCCAGTGTCAGTCGGTCTCCATCTTGTTTTCACGCTCCTGTGAAGGGATTCTGGAACCATCCGTCACCTAAACCTTGACTCTAATCTTCTTCTGCTTCCTTTGTCTCTTCTCTTCCCTCACCTCGCCCACCCCTCGTCTGTGTCCGCCCCTCTCCTCGTCTCTAACCCGGTGCTAACAGTGGGCAGACAGACCACCGCTCCAGCCACAATGTCCACCGCGGCCTCCGGCACCACCATGGGGCTGGTGGAACAAGGTAGATGTCCCGCCTGTCGGCATGCAGGTCCCTTCGCTGCACGCAGCCGCCGGCTGGGCCTTGAGAGCCTCCCCAGAGGCCCCGGGAGCCCCTGCTCCCGCCGTGGACACGCCCACAGAGCCCCCGTGGGCAGGGAGGCAGCCCCAACTGTCCCAGCAGCCTCAGACCCCACCTATTTCAGGAGGGGCCAGGCTAGCTGACCCCTGAGCCGAGTTGCCCTCCATGCCTTTGACCGAATTCCCCAGTCCTGGTTCCTGAGTCTGGGGGTCAGGAGACCCCTCTGGTCAGAGCCCTTTGCTGTCTCAGTCTCACTCCCCACTTGTCCATCATGACCCCCGCTCAGAATGACCTTGACACCAACCCCAGGAAGCCTCGGGGCTGCTGCTGGGAGTTCAAATCCCGAGTGGGGGCCCTGGGGAGAAGGGCGTGGGCAGAGACCCTGTCCCGTGAGAGCCCACTGGCCACCCTGGCCACCCCCGACCTGTCCCGCACACGTGCCCAGGGCCCTGCCCTGCGCTTCCAGCCGCTCGCACGGAGCCGGCGGTCTGTGCTGAGGCCCAAACACGCACGTCTGCCCCGTGAGCCCCAAGATGGGGCCCTCGGCCACCCAGAGAATGGCTCTGAAGGCCTCCTCTTGGTTTCTTTCTACGAGGCCCCCATTACCTCGTCCCCACCCTGTGAGGGGAGAGGCTCATTCTGCTAACCTGTGGCCCAGTCTGTGAGGGGCAGACCTCCCAGAAGGCCCATGCCAGCTCCCGCTCATCCAACCGTGACCTTGGCCGCATCACATAAGGCTAGTGGACCCCAAGACTTCCTAGTGGGCCCATGGCCCCAGCCCGAGCTGAAGGTGGCACAAGTGTAGGGCGGGCAGGGCCAGCTGCAGCTGAGGGGCCTAGAAGAAGCCCGGCATTTCCTGCCGGTGCCTCGAGTGTCGGCCGGGACAGGGCAGACGCCCAGCCCCTCCCAGGCCCAGGCCCTTTCTTTTTTCTTTTTTTTTTTTTTTGGTGGGGGGTACGCGGGGCTCTCACTGCTGTGGCCTCTCCCGTTGCGGAGCACAGGCTCCAGACGCGCAGGCTCAGCGGCCATGGCTCACGGGCCCAGCCACTCCGCGGCATGTGGGATCTTCCCGGACCGGGGCACGAACCCATGTCCCCTGCATCGGCAGGCGGACTCCCAGCCACTGCGCCACCAGGGAAGCCCCCGGGCCCTTTCTTTACTGCACATCCAGCCCAGCTCTTACCCCGTGACCCCACAGGGTGTGCCGGCCCGCCTGCCCACCCAGAGGACCCCGGCTGCTGCCTCCTGGGGCTTTCAGGGCAGGGCTGTCCTCAGCAGGAGGGCCTGTGCTCCTCCCGTGAGCCCGGTGACGGGTCCAGCAGGCAGGCCCCCGGGGTCATCCTGAGTCAGCTTCATTTACTGGGCCTTTCCGGAGCACCTGAGAGGGAGGGAGGGGCAGTGGGACACGGGACAGTGAGACTAGGGCCTCCTGGTGAAGCCGGGGGCGGGGCAGCAGTGAGCGAGGCAGGCGCCTCTGAGCCGCTCTCTGCCCGGGGCTCCCACCTGCAATGCCCACTGCCTGCAAGGGGATGTGGAGCGTCCGTGCATGAGGCCGCGAGCATGTGCGGCTCCGCCCCCGGCGCCCAGGGCCGCTCTGTCCTGGGGGTGGTCCGTGCATGTGGCCGGAGCCCAGCATGGCTGTCCCTGAGTGACGAGCTAGGGGACGAGGTAAAGGCTGGGCCCTGTGGGTTGAGCCCCCATCCCCGCTAGGTCAGCCTACCTCAGCCAGTGCGTTGGACCCAGCAGACACGGCAGGCAGGGGGCTCAGTCCCAAGGCCATCGCTTCTCTGTGGATGACGGCCTCTGGGGTGACGTAGTGCCCTCGGCCAGCAGAAGACCGGGTGTCTTTGTAGATCTCTTGCAGTTCATCAAGGCGGCCTGGTCAGTCCCACTTGGCCTTCACCAAGAGGAGACTCAGGCAAACTGCTGGGGTGGCAATGATGGCCTGGCCCCAAGGACCCGGGCCGGGGTGGGGCAGAGGGTCTCTGCTTGTCTCCGGGGGTCTAGGGCGCCTGGTCGGTCCACCTTGGCTCCTGCTGTGTAGTAATGAATTCGACTTGAATTCGACTTGAGGAAACACAAAGGAAACTCCTTATGCCTTTGACTGCTAGTGTAGACGGGAGTCAACAGGATTCTGGAATTATTCTCAGACAGAGATGTGAATTTCCAGGAAACGTGGCGGCCAGGAGCTGAGCTCAGGAAGACGGCAGCTGTGTGTCCAGACACCCTGTACCCAGACACGCAGGTGTAGGTTACAGGGGTTCCCAAGGAGGAGTGTTCGGGAATCGATTACAAGGACAGGCGTCTGCTGCAGGGCATCCTGGAGCCTGGGCCGTGGTGGCGGACTGAGTGCCCTGAGGGGTGGCTTGTTAGGGAGTGGAACTGGTACCGTCCCGTGTAGCACGGTCTGGAATGTGGGTTTTGATAGAATCAGGGACTGAAGGGAACCCTCTTAAGACCCAGGACTGTCCCAGGGTCTGACCCAGGGGCCCCCCTTTCCTGCCCAAGGGGAAGACCAGGCAGAGCTGACTCTGCCCCAACCAGGGCACTGGGCTGGCCCTGGCCGGACTTCTCAGACCAGCACTGGCGTGCACTGGCTCTAACTCAGCCGGCCGGGAATGCTGCTGGTCAAGGCTGTGTGGCACTGGGAGGTGACTCTCCCCAGACTGCCCACCTTAAATTGGGGGTGAGGGTCAGCTTGCTCGTCTGCTCAGCTCTCACGACGAGTGCCTTCAAGACGGGCTGGACCCCACTTTCCTCCAGCTGTGTCCAGCCAGCTGGTCGGCCAGCATAGACAGGGTCCCTGGGCTCTGTGACCACAGCACGACCCCCACTTCGGGGTCAGTAGGGAGGCTAGGGCCATGCTGGTCAGGAGTGAGGCTGCAGGCCCTGGAGGCCCGGGAGTTTCCATGTCTGCAGGGCTCGATTGTTCCTCCGTGGTGAGTTACAGGCATGCGGACGTAGCTGCCACCTGGGAGGTTTTCACAGTCCCCGCAGTGGGAAGTGGGTTGTGGCCCTGAGCAGGCGGCATTTCTGGTCCTGGACGCCCGCGGAGCAGGGCTGCCAGGGTAGCAGGGTGTGATCCCAAGTCCGGCCTCACCAGGTGAGGCCTCGCCCTTGGGAGGATGAACTGGGGGACGAGGAAAGGGATGACCTGTGGTCCCTTCACTCGCTGGGGTACTGTGATGCTTCTCACGGGGTGAAGCCCACCGGGCGACAGGGTTGGGCCAGGAGTCAGGTTTCTCATTAAACTTTGGCCCGTGGATCCTGGGAGGGAAACTTGAGGGAATTGATGGGTCCATTGGGGAGGAAGGCTGGGAACTGAGGCTGCGCCCAGTGTAGCAGGTCTCCGATAACCCCGCGGGGCCCTCTGGCTGGGGGCAGCCACCTGTGTGCCAAAGCAAAGCCCGGAGGGCGGCGATGGCCGCCTGGACAGGGAAAGGCAATCAGCAGGGGGTGGCCCAGCGGCCTGGTCACTGCACTGGGGACCTTGACCAGTGGTTCTCGACCTGAAGCAGCGTCAGGACCCCCCAGAGCAGATGAACAGTTAAACTGATGCCGAGCCCGCCCCCGAGTTTCTGCCTCAGGAGGTCTGGGGCAGCCCAGGCGATGAGATGCTGACATTGCTGGCGGGGGCGGGGGCGGGGTCCAGGGGGACCACGCTTTGAGAATCGCTGCATCTCTCTGGGTCTTTCTGATGTGCCGGCCGAGTCAACGGCCTCCAGGGATGTTCCCAGCAGGAAAGGTCCCCCCCCCCACCACAGGCCTGCTGGGGGCCACCCTCCTACCTCTGGGCAGGCGGCCTCCCCTTCAGGGCTGGCCAGCCAGAGCTTTTGGAGCTGGCGGTGGGGACTGTGCCACCTTCCTTCCAGGGCGAGGGACCCCACCCTCCGGCATCCGACCCCAGGGCTGCTTCTCTAACCCGCACCGGCTGTCCTGGGGCACTGCTTGGTGTGAGCGTGGGCAGGGCGGGTGAGGCAGGAGCCGCTGAGCCCTGGGCTGCAGACTTGCACTCCCTGCCTGAACGTCCACAAACCTTGTTTTCTCTCTCTTCTTTCTTCCTCACTCCCTCTCCTCCCCTTCTCACCTTTCCTTTTCCGTAAGGTAAGCTGACTTCCTTTGTTTTTATGCTGGGGGGCTAAGGGCCTGTGGGCTGTGGCAGGTCAGGGCCCCTGAAGCTGGCTCACAGAGAGGCAGAGGCAGAGCCGGGCCGCCCCCGACCTCCTCCCCGCGGGTGCGGGGAAGGCTGGGATGAGACGGGCCGTCTGCTGGGCCTGGGCTTCTGAGGGGTGGTGGGAACCTGGGATGCAGGTGGCTCTTTGGACCCTCCCCCAGGTGTGTCATCCTGTTGATGTCACTCGGAGCTTAAGGTCCTTGGTGGGTGGGCACAGAGGCCCGAGTTGGCCCAGTCAGTGCTGCCAGAGCAAGGCCGAGCGGTGGCCCCAAGGCTCAGGCTGCGGGGTGGTTTAAGAGGGAGAGTGAGGCTGCCCCCCGGGGCTCTGAGCTGAGAGGCGTGGCCTGAGGCCTGGCCGTGGGACCAGAGCTCCGAGTTCAGTCTGACAGGGGAGGGGGGCAAGGAGGCTGAGAGCAGGCACCTGGGGTTGGGGCAAGCCCCTCCCTTTGTGGGTGGCCAGCTGCAGCCCACCCACCCCTGCCTGAGAACATGGGGGTGTCTACCACTCCAACCTGCTGTCCCGCCCTGTGTTCCCATCTCGGGTGAGGGGCAGCGCCCTGCCTTCCTTTTCGGGGAACCTGCATGCTGCCCTCCCGGAAGCTGCTGGTCACAGGTGGGAGGAGAAACCTTGGTGTCCTCCAAGGTCATGGCGGATGGCCAGGGGGGAAGGCCGTGTCCCGGGGACGAGGATCCTTGGGCGGCGCTGGCCAGACCTTCCCCAGGGCGGCCCTGCTTGGCACAGGACACAGGCCCGCTCTGTCCCCAGCTGGGCGCAGAAGCTACCTCTGCCTTGGGACCTTGGGTCGCCTGCTCGCTCAATCTTGGGGAGCCCAGGCTCCTCGCGGGCCCCCGAGGCTGCCTCACGCTGAGGGGGTGGGCTGTCCTGGGACCCGGGCCCCTCAACTCATCACATCTGTTTCCTCCAATGCAGCAGCCAAGAGTTTACTCAACAAGAAAGCAGACGGAGTCAAGGTGAGGCGCTGGCTTGGCCCTGGGGGGCCCCCCCCCCCCCCCCCGTCTCGAGCCTACAGCTTTGCCCAATCCCCGAAGCTCCCTCTGGGCCTCCTCCCCGCCCAAGGAAGGGGCGTGACCCCCTCATTCTCTCCCTAATGGCTTCTCTTCCTCTCTCTGCAGCCCCAGACAAATAGCACCAAAAACAGTGCGGCTGCCACCAGCCCCAAGGGGACGCTTCCTCCAGCTGCCCTGGTACTGAACCCCTCGTCCCCCTGCTTCTCGGCCCTCCCGTACCCCGGCTGTGTGGTAACCACCTGTCGGGAGGCCTGGGGTAAAGCTGGGGTGTGGCTGCCAGCCTGTCTCTGACAGATGACACTTAGCCCTTCCAGCCCCACCGCCGCTCGGGTGTGGGGGTGAGGGTGGACTCCAGTTCAGGCCGTGCCGGAGAGCCTCTCTGGGCGCAGTGGACAGGCCCCTGCTGACTTGTGGGTCAGCAGTGAGAGCCCATCAGGGAGGGAGCCGGTGAGGCTGAGAGCCAGGATCCAGGGCACCAACCTTGCTCGGCCTCTCTGCTCGCAACGGGCTGACCCCCCGTTGATGGGCCCAGGCAGGCTCTGCAGGGAGAGTGGCCCGGGGGTCGGGGGTGAGGACAGGCTAGGCAGTGGGGACTCCCCCGCCAACCCCTCTCCTGGGTGCTGCAGGGGTGTGCTGTCTTGGAGGTGGGGGCCTTTGGTTTCTCCCCAGGAAGAATGGGTGGGCCTGACCTTAGCTTCAGAGCCCTGTGATCTGGAGGGAGACAGAGACCCCTTGGTGGTTTCCCTGGTGACGGCCCAGCAGCAGCTGTCGGGTCTAGGGCAGCAGCAGCCATGGCATTTCCCATCAGAGTCTGTGTCCTGCAGGCCCCGAGGCAGGTGTGGGGAGATACACTTCTATGGCTGTGCGGGCCTGTGGCTACCTGGAGGGTTCAGGGGGTTCCTGCTGGGGAGGGCTGGGCAGACGTGAGGTCAGAGGGACCCGCCAGCACCAGCCCTCACCTGGAGGGTCCTGTCCAGGGGGCGGAGCTGGTGGTGCAGGGTTGTGGCCAGCGGGTACTGGCCCTCCTGCCCAGTATGCTGTGCGCCTGTGGAGCAGGCCATCCCAAGAAGCTGGGGTTTGCTGGTCCACAGGTTCTGAGTTTGCTGAAAGCACACTTGGTGTCCCCGCGGGCCCCAGGCCGTGCTTCTGGGAGTGAGCCCTGGACCGCCCGTGGAGAGGATGGGTTTGCCAAATGGCCATCCAGCGAGTGGGAGGGCGGCCTTGGCCCAGGAGGGGAGGGTCCCACATGCCGGCCTCGCAGCCAGCCCCGTCTCGGACCCCATCCATCCCATGTGCCACCCCACCCCCATGACATCTTCAAACTGTGCCCCGCCCATGCCGAGGCAGAGGGCCCAGCTGCAAAGGGAGGGGGCGGCGCGCCCGAGGCAGGGCACCCAGCGTGGGGCTTCTCGCCACCGCCCTCAGGCGCACGCTCTCCATCGCCCTCCCGTCGCAGGCGCCGGCGAGGTCCCGGCAGGTCTGCTTGTTCCATCCACATCGTCCCAGGTTTCTCTCCAGCTGCTCTGCTCCCCGCTGGCCATCTGCCGCCCTGCTGAGCTGCCACTCTCTCCTCTCCTCTCCTCTCCTCTGGGGGGCCTCCACTCTCCTCCTCTTCTCACTTCCCTCTTTCCTTCCTCTGTGCTTCCTTCTTCTGTAGGAACCTCAAACCACCGTCATTCATAACCCAGTGGACGGGATCAAGGTACTGCGCGTTCCTCACCGCCCTCTTGGGAGCGTCTGCTCAGGCAGTAGGCAGACCCCCTGGCCCTGGGGAAGCTCTGGGATGTTGACCCCGGGGAAGCATTTGTGCCAAGACAACTGTGCAGGGACCCCTCCCAAGGCAGGACAGAGCCCCCCAGGTCCGTGGGCTGCTCCCTTTTGGGGAAAGGCCCCAGGTGCTGCCCTTTTTGGAGGCATGGTTGTACCAAGTCCACGGTGGACACAGGAGCCTGGGCTTCCTCATGTCCTGAGCAGGGTCCACTTCTCAGACCCTCTCCATCCTGCCTTGGCGATGACCAGGTCCAGCCTAGCCAGGAGCAGCTGAATGCAGGGCCCATTTCAGAGGCTCAGGGCGCCAGGAAGAGCCTGGGTGTCCTCCGTGATGCGCGGCCAGGGCTGCGTGCTCCGGGGGAGACCGGCCGGCGTGGGCTGCCCGGCGTGCCCCCGAGTGTGGGGCGGGGGAGAGGGGAGCAGCACAGACTCCCCCTGACCTCACCCGTCACTCGTCGCCTCTGCCCGCTGCGCCTGGTGCTGCCCGCTGAGCTGACCCCTCCTCCTGCCCCTCCTCTCTGCTCTGGCATCAGCTCCCATCCCATCGGCATCTTCACCCCGGGGCCAGGGAAGGGGCTGGCTCTCTGGGGTGGGGGGAGGGATGGGTGGGCGGCCACGCTGTGTTTCCAGAACTGGACTTCCACCTGGGCCTGGGATCCTCAAAGGGTCCCCACGCACCCCAGCCATGGGCCAGGACCAGGGGGCCTTGGGCAACTGGCTCTGGGCTGGCCCCCAGGCTCAAGGTGCTAGGAAGAGCCCGGGTGTCCTCTGTGACTCGGGGCCAGGGATGGGTGTTCCTAGGACGCTGTGTCTGGAGTGAGGCTTCTGGGGCTGTGGTGTGAGCCCTGATCCTACAACCTGTAGACACCCGCATTCCTGGCCCAGGGCCCAAAGCAGTGTGTCCTGTGAGGGGGCTGGAGGGGGCGGGGGGTCCCTTGGGGACCCTGTTAAGATGTTCCTTCTGAGGAGCAGGCAGACCTTCTGGGGACCCGGTGACAGGTGGCTGGCACCTGGCTTTATATCTGAAGGGCAGTAAGCCAGGAGTGAGGTAGGAGGTGCTGGGGCCCCCTCTCTGCCCTTAAGGCCACCTGAGAGGTAAGGCCAGGCCTGGCGGGACGGTCCGGGCCTGGGGAGGAGGTGTGGTCGCTGCGGCAATCTGTCTGGGCCAGGCCAGGGCTCCGGAGCAGCTACTGGAAGCTTCCGCCCTGTCTGCCAAAATGCACGGGCTGTGGGTGACTTTCTGCTTCACCCGGAGTCTTGGAATTCCAAAAAGCTTGTTTTCCTCTCTTGTTAATGAGTCCTCTGAGCACACGGAGTCTTTCCACTGGGTGTGCCTTGTGGGGAGAAGGGGAAGTTGGGGTCCTCAGCTGTTGGGGACATGGCGGCCCAGCCTGGGGACAGGTGAGCCCTGGGGCTGGTGTGAAGCTCCAGCGCTGCCTGTGGGTTTCTGGGGTTCAGGCCACGTCCTGACCCGTTGTCTCCCCGTGTCTCCCCAGGAGTCATCTGACAGCACCCACACCACCATAGAGGACGAAGACACAAAAGGTACCCCAGCTCCCCGCCTGCGGGGTCAGTGGGGCGGGCCACTGGCGGGTGGGGAGCTGGGATGGAGAAAGGCCGAGGCCTGTGGTGCGGGCGTGTGCCCAAGGGCTGACCCCGCTCAGGGCTGCAGTCCCACCTGAGCCTGGGTACAGACCGGCGCCGGGCAGTCTCCGGCATAGCATCCAAGCAGAGCCTGATGGGCCCGGGCTCCCTGAGCAGCGAGGAAGCCACTGCCCGGGGTGGGACGATTGCTCTGGGGGCTGTGTGCCCAGTTCCCACAGTTGAATTTGCTGTTTCTTCCCTCAAAGGTCCTTAAACCTGTGGCTGCCCCGCTTCCAGTCGATTCGGGGACGGGCAGCAAGGGGCGTTTCCTGGGCTCGTTGTGGGATTGGGGGGTGGGCTGCAGAGACTCGAGCTCCCACCCACTCTCAGGGCTCCCAGGCCGAGCTGGGCCGTGCTCCGTCTGTGCCCCACAAGGGCCCCAGGGTGCCGGGCGCCGTGTGCTCAACCAGGGCCCCCTCTTCCACCCTCAGCTTTCTCAGCTGCCCCCAGGGAGGGGATCTGGTCCCCCCTCCACTCGGGCCAGGCCGCCCATCCCCACGTGGAGGGCCCGCCTGACCCTCTCAGCCACGCGCTTGTAGATGAGCGCTGGGTGCCCTCGGGGCTGCCCCTGGGCTGGACAGTGGCCACTCGGCCAGTTTAGGGGGGATGCAGTGACCCTGTCCTGAGTACCCTCCCTGCCCCAGAGTGGAAGCGAGCATAAGGCTTTGGCCTCTGGACGCAGGGATGGTGGACGTTCACGTGTTTTCTCCAGACTGCAGGCCCCAAACCATCAGCATGGAGCATGGAGGTCTGCAGACCTCTCCCAGGCCCTGTCCTGTGGTTCTGTCCCTGCCTCAGCAGGCTGGGGGCCTGAGGCAGCCCGAGCCTGCAGGAGCACAGGGGAGCGGGCCAGCCCGGCCAGCCTCGTCCCAACCCCTTGTCTGGCTGGGGGAGGGTGGGCAGATGCCCGAGGGGCCTCGCGGAGTGGGGCAGGGCAGGCACAGGGGCCCCGGGGCCTCTCGCCTCAGCTGTGTCATCCGTCAGATGCGGAGAAGCCTCGGTGGGCCTGGCCTGGCCTCTGCTGGCCTTGGCACACAACCTTCCCACCTGGAGGCCGGCCTTCGAAGGCCCCTTGTCCAGCCCTGCACACGGTCCTGTGTCTGCCTCACATACCTGCTGTGAACGCACAGCCCTGGGTGCGCGGGGGTGATGGCGCTCCAGGAGCCCTGGACCCCACCGCGTGGTTCTCCAGCTTAGCCCCTCTCCTTCTCCTGCACTCCCCCTCCTCTCTTGCGTGTCCTCACCTGCGTGTTCACGTCTCGTCTGTCCGCTCAGCCCCCAGGGTCCCTGACATCTTGAGCTCCGTGAGGAGGGGCTCGGGGACCCCAGAAGGCGAGGGTCCCCCGCCCTGCCCGCCTCCGGCTCCCATAAGCCCCCTGACCACCCCATGTAAGTAGCCAGGCCCCTGCTGCTGCTGCGGGGGTCTCCCTGAAGGGCCTGCAGCTCCTCTGAGGGGGCGCTTGAGAGCCAAGGGCCGGCCGAGCTTGGGCACCAGCCTGCCCCCGACAGCCCCCCTCTGAGGCTCCCCAGGGCCTCTGCCCCTCAAGCCCCCCTCCATGCGGGCCTTCCCCACTGGCCTGGGGGGCCGCCCGGTCCACCGTTCTGCTCGGGTGTCAGGGCCAGGGCTCCTTGATGCTGAGACAGGCCCCAGGGCAGCAGAGAGCAGGGGCCCTGCTTCCTCTCCCCCAGCCTCGCCCGGCAGCCTCCTCATATGTCTGCCTCCTGTCCACCCAGCCCCCAGAATCTGTGACATCCTGAGCTCCGTGAGGAGGGGCTCGGGGACCCCGGAAGCTGAGGGCCCCCCGCCCACCCCATGTAAGTAGTGCCCCAGGCCTGCTGCTTCTGCTGCCCAGCGGCTCCTGCGTCCTGCCGTGCACGGCCTCAGCTGCTCCCAGGCCAGGCTGCCGAGGCCTGGCTAACTGTGTGGCCTGGCTGGCCGTCGGGGGGCACATGCGCTAACTACCCCCCAGCCCGGTTCCCTGACCCTCACCTCCCACACTGCTCCCCGCACTGCTGTCCGGGGCCCCAGGCCTCTCCCCCAGAGGGTCTCCCAGGCCCAGGGCAGCCGGCAGGGCCCCTCTGAGGCCGCCCACCCATGTGCCCTGCCCCTCGGACCCTGGGCCGTGCCCTTGCCAGTCACGCTGACTCCGTGTGGGCCCCGGGGAGCCTCGGGGAGCCCAGGCACAAGGAGCTATTATAGAAATCCTCTCAACCACAGGCCTGGGGGTTTAAGGGGAGAAGAAAGGGCCCGGCCTCCCTGCAGAACTGGGTTCTCCACAGAGGGGCCGGACGTTCTGCTCATCCTTCACTCACTCACCCCTTCCTCACCTGTCGGGCGCTGACCGAGGGCCTGTCCTGCACTGGGCTGTCTCCTCTGTCCCTTCCTGGGCCAGGCTGCCCTTCAATGGAGGGCACCCTCCGCCCGCAGCAGCTTTCCATGTGCCCCCACCGACCTGGTCAGACAGGTGCAGCTGGCTGAACGTTCCTGAAGCTTCCCCCTCTGCCCCACACCCCTCTCTGTCACGCTCCACTGCCACGTCCCTTCTCCACCCCTCTGTCCCCTTCCATCCCCCATGTCCCCTCAAGACCCCCTCCATCCCCCCATGTCCCCTCGTGTCCCCCTCCATCCCCTATGTCCCCTTGTGTCCCCCTCCATCCCCCATGTCCCCTCTGTCCCCCTCCATCCCCCATGTCCCCCCTCTGTTCCCCTCCATCCCCCATGTCCCCCCTCTGTCCCCCTCCATCCCCCATGTCCCCCCTCTGTCCCCCTCCATCCCCCACGTCCCCTTGTGACCCCCCCGTCCCCCCACTCTCTGGCTTTGGCTCACCAGCTCATAGGTTTTGTCTTCTGTGTGTCTCCCGCCTGCCTCGTGTTTCTCGTGTTCACGTCTCGTCTGTTCCGCCCCAGCCCTCAGGATCTCTGACATCCTGAACACGGTGAGGAGGGGTTCGGGGACCCCAGAAGCCCAGGGCCCCCCACCCTGCCCTCCTCCGGCTCTCCCAGGCTCCCCACCCACCCTGTGTAAGTAGCACCTTGAGTGGCCCTGCTGGCTGCTCCTGGGGGCTCACAGGGGTGTGGAGACCCCTGGCTGTGGTGCGCCGCCCCCTGGCTCTGGGAAGGGGCCGGCTCGGGGGTAGGGGGACGTGAGGTGCAGGGAATTCCACACGGAGCTGCCGTTTGACATGCACGTGTGCGAAGAGAACCAGGAAGCAGGTTCCCGTGATCTAGAGCCACACGCTCCCAGGGTTTGCAGTCTGCGGGTTTCTTCCGCAGCGAGGATGGGATGGTGCTGGCCGGGTGGTGCCTGGGGTTACGCCCCCGCTGGTGATGCTAGGGGTGGGGGCCCAGCCGGGCGGGCGCTGGGCTGGGCCACCTCCCCAGGGAGGGAGGAGCCGCCGCAGCCCGTCTGCCGCCCGCCCGCCAGTATCGCTTACAGGGATGGATGACACCCCAGGGCGGCAGCCATCCCCACCTCCGGGGAGACACCGGGCTCTCAGAGGAGAGGCTGCGGGGCCGGGGGCCGGGCATGGCGGGGGAGAGGCTGGGTGAGTGCCGGGCCGGGAGGGTGCTGACCCCCGCCCACCTGCTGCGGGCCAGCCCCAGGGGCCTGGCCGAGAGGAGGGAGAGGGGGAGGGAGGCCCTGGGAGCAGTCGGGCAGGCATGGAGGCCTGAATACTGTGGCCTGAATCCGGGCTTGGTTGAGGGGAGTGGAGGCGAGTGTCCGAGGTGAGGGACTAGGGTCTTGCAGGCGGGCGCACAGCGGAGCCTGTGGGAGGGGGCCGATCCCCTTCCCCATTTGTGCGGCGTCTTATCCGAGTTTAGAGGCCACCACGTCCCCATCTCTGGGACCCTTGCGGCCCCTCCTTTCAGAGATGAGAACGATGAGGGGAGGAGATGTGGAGGGTTGTGCCCAAGGGGGCCACCTGCAGCGTGACCTCGGCCCAGGGCTGCGACCCACCCTAGGAACCTGCGCAGGCCAGGTGGGGACCTCTGAGGACAGGGCATGCCACGGGTGCTGAGCACCCCAGGCTGACCTGGGGGGCCCACAGCACTGGCTTGCCCCTTTAGGGGTCTGTCCTGAGCTTGACTCCGGGAGGTGCGGCCACAGAAGGTGCTGTGATCAGCACTGAATGGAGGGGTGGCCGGGCCTGCAGGGTGCAGGGGAGGGGAAGATGCAAAGCCCTGGGGGGCACTGGGGGCACCGAGGGCGGGGGGGCCCCCATCAGTCTCCCTCAGGGAGAGGGGTCCTCGTGCTTGGATGTGCACCCTCCTCTCACCCGGAGTTCCCAGCATCCCAGCTCCATAGGCCTGTGTGAGGGTCCTCAGGTGAAGGAACGTGGGTGGGGCCGGCCCAGAGAAGGGACTTATGAGGGGCCGTTGTGGGGTGAGATATGGCGCTCAGTGGGCTGAGTGCCAGAGCCGGGGTGCCCCCTCTCCAGCTCTGGGACCAGGGTTCGGCCCCTCACGGCACCGAGGCCCGGGCTGCAGAGGGCCATCCCTGGGCTGGGTTGTGGGTACCCTCCTTCCCCGGGAACGTCCCCGCCAGCTGTCTCAGTGTGTAAATGGGGTCGGTGCCCACTGGCCGGGGCCGTGTTCTCCATGATCAGGGATTACGCACAATCCAGGCTGATCCTGCGCAGCTGCCTCCCTGGGGTGGCTGGGGGCATCCTGGCTTCCCTGCAGCTGCCGAGGGACAGGCCTTGGGGTCAACCTGGGGTCACTGGGGTACCCCCGGACCCTTTGCTGGTGGCCGGGCCTCCCTGGCCTGTTAGCTCACCCCAGGAGAGCCGGAGGGGACATGGGGGCTGCACTTCAAGCCAGACCTCAGCTCCGTCCCCGGAGTTGTCTGGTGGGGGAGGCTTGTCCTCAATAACAAGCCTCACCCCCGCCCCCAGGAGTCCCTTCGCGCAGCATGCCACTCGGGGGGAGGAAGGATTGCTCTGCAGCGTGGGGTTAGACGTGGGCGGCAGCCCCTCCGAGGGTCAGGAGCGTCCAGCCCACTCCTGGGCTGTGACTGGGCTCGTGTGGCCTCAGCTTTCCCATCTGCAGAATGGACATGGTGGCTGTTTCCTAAACTTCAGACTTTGCAATGTGTGCTGCGACCCTAGGTTTCTATTTACTTAATTCTTTCTCTTTACACTGACTCCATTTTTAATTATGCTTTGTTTAAAAACGCTCAATATTACTTCATTAAGTGGAAGATTCGGCTCGCCACGGTGCAGTAGGGTGACTGTAAAATCAGAGTGCACGGGAAACAAAACAGAAAAAGTCACTCAATTCCAGCTGCAAGGCTGTTGGCTAAGGGCTCACGTGGGGCGGGGGTGGCTCACGACGTTTGTGAAGAAGGGGGGTTGACAAGTGTCGGGGTGTCGGGGTGCGTAGACGTCCCCTTGGCAAGATCAGTAGGATGGCCTGGAGCTGACAGAGTAAATCGCAGGTGGGAGGTGGGGGCTCCTGAGCAGGGGCTGGACCTGGTGCCACAGGCGGGAGGCGGTGAGGTCCCGGGTGACGGACCGCCCTGGCCAGGGACAGTAGTGGCAGGGGCTGGGTGTTGCCCTTGGACAAGCCCAGGCCCGGCCCTCTGGGCGGGGTCTGGTGGGGAGCTAGGTCTGGTGGGGGAGATCAGAGCCTGAAGCTTGAGGCCACCTCCGCAGAGGTGACAGGTGAACTGGAGATGGGGGTGGATGAGGTCCCAGAGGAGAGAGGGTTGCCCAGAATTGGGAAACGCCAGGCAGAAAGTGGAGAGGGGGGCAGGCTGCGGGGGAAGCCCTGAGAGGGGAAACGAAGTGTGATGGGATGGGCGAAGGAGGGGGCGGTGTGTGGGTGGAGGTGTGGAATACCCAGAGGGTGAGGACAGAGGCTGGCCTGCACATGTCTGTGTTGGGACTGAGCTTTGCAGGTGGACGTGGGGCATCAGGACAGCTGGGCCCACAGCCCGCCTCCCAGAGGCCAGCTTCCAGGGCTGACCAGACAAGGTGGGGCTCGGGTTCTGCAGAGACAGCCTTAAGCCCAAACCCTGCTGTAGTCCAGACGCAGAGTTCGGCGGCAGAAGCGCCGCCAGGTCCAGAGAGAGCATCTCTTTTATATAGCGGAAGCCCACGCGTGCTTGCGGGTTGGTGTGCACACACACACACAGCAAACACACACACGCATGCCCACGTGCCCACTCTCTCACCTGTGCACGTGTGCACGAAGGTGCACACACACATACACATATGCTCATGCATGCGCTCAACCATGACACCCTTGGGTGTCATGGAGCTCACCCTGCAGCCACTGTCCAGAGCCGGTGCGACACGACCCAGGCTCCCAGCTCAGACACGGGCACGCCTGGGCTCGCACGCAGCAGGCAGCATCTTCTACCATGGACTCTGTCCGCTTCCTAGCTGGGTGGCTGGGAAAGTGAGCGCCCAGACAGCCGAAGATGCTGACGGGAGGGCCGTGGGCACATGCTTCAAAATGCTAACTGCACCTTTTTGGAGCTGGCAACCCGCGCTCTGGGAATGTAGCCTGCAGATCAACTCACGTGTGTCCTGGTCCCGGCTGCTCTGCCAGCTGAAGACTGGAGACCTACAGATGCCCATCACTAGGCCTCGTTGAGTGGGGATGCCCATCCCACAGGAGGGCCGTGCAGAGAGTCTGTGGTCCCGATGTGCTGCTGGGAGCAGGGGGGACACCAGTACCCATGCTGGGAGTGCGCAGACATGCGCAGCTGGTGTGGCCGTGACCGGGGAGGGAACGGGGGGACAGAGCTCCTGGGGTCGTGCTTTCGGTGGCCTTCTTGGGTCTGAGTTTTATCACTGCTTTAAGAGATCACCACGTGTGGATGCGTCTGTGCCTGTGTGCACACTCGTGTATTTCCTGTGTGCCTTTGGGTGTTTCTGTATCTGCACAGAAGCGGTTAAGCACCTCAGGACGGCACTTCTCTGGGGAGAGTGAGCGAAGAACAAGATTCAGGGGAACACAGGCATCTGCCTCTTTATCTGGAAGGTTTTATTTCTTGAAAAGAAATCTAAAGCAAATACGAAAGTGGTTCAGATTTGAATCAGCAGGCTGTGGGCTATATTATTCTTTCTGCTTCTTCCATGTGTTTAAAATGTTTTGCCTGAAAATAAATGGTAGTTAAAGAGATAAAGGAGCCCCCAGGCGAGCACCCTGGGGACTGGGTCTGTCCAGGACCAGAGGTCAAGTGGGCAGGAACCCGGAGAAAGCTGCTGGCGCAGGGCCTCAGGTGGAGGGTGCAGGATGGAAAGGTGATGCCAGAGGACTGGCCTGGGGGCCCAGGACCGCAGACAGGTGGAGGCTGGAGGAGGTGGAAGGCCAGGCGGCAGCCTGCGGCCTTCCAGGGAGAGAAGGCAGTGAGGTCCGCACTCTGCCTTCCCCTGGGCCCGGCTCCCTGGCCTTTGCGCTGAGGCCTGGCCCTGCAGTCTTCAATCCCCTGCCTGCTTCGTGAGCCCGCCCTTAGTAGACAGCTGCCTCCCCAAGAAGGCCTATGAGAGCAATGTCCATGGTGGGGGGCGGGCAGGAGCTGGGAAGGCTGGTCACAGTGTTGCAGCTGCCGAGGGCCAGGGGATACAGTCGGAAGGACTGGGGCATGGCAGGCTTGGCTTCCCCTTCCTGCCTCTTCCAGACCTTTTGTACTCTGGATGGAGTATTTCCGTCTTTCAGGGATGTTGTATTTAAGACAAAGAAGATAGAGGCTTGTTGGACTTGGAAATGGGGACCCTGTTGGTGGCCCTGAAGGGAGCAGTCTAAGCCCGGCAGCCTCGGGGTCCCTCCTGGAGGGGGAGGGGGAGGGGGCAGGGGGGTGCTCTGCGCGGGACCCCCCCCCCCGGGGCTGCAGGGGGGTGGCTCACGGGTCACTGGGTGGCTGTCTCCCACAGCGCGGAAGCAGGAGATCATCAAGATCACGGAGCAGCTCATCGAGGCCGTCAACAACGGTGACTTTGAGGCCTATGCGTGAGTCAGGGCTCCTGGGCCCATCCTGGGGCTGCGGGGTGGGAGGGGGGTGGACGGACGGGGCGGGTTCTGAGGGGCCCCTCCTCACCTGGGTCTGCCCCCCAGGAAAATCTGCGACCCAGGCCTGACCTCGTTTGAGCCCGAAGCCCTGGGCAACCTGGTTGAAGGAATGGACTTCCACAGATTCTACTTCGAGAACTGTGAGTGCGGGGCGGCGGCCGGAAGAGGGCGGCACCCCCGGGGAGCCCGCGGGCCCCCAGCTAGGCGCCCAGGGAAGCCCTGTCCCGTCCTCGTCCTGCCGGAGGGGGAGGGGTGGCCGGGCTGGCGCTCGTAGGGGGCTGGGCCGCCGGAGGGGGAGGGGTGGCCGGGCTGGCGCTCGTAGGGGGCTGGGCCCGGAGCGGCGCCAAGCCCCTGCCCGCCCACAGTGCTCGCCAAGAACAGCAAGCCGATCCACACGACGATCCTGAACCCGCACGTGCACGTCATCGGCGAGGACGCCGCGTGCATCGCCTACATCCGCCTCACGCAGTACATCGACGGGCAGGGCCGGCCCCGCACCAGCCAGTCCGAGGAGACCCGCGTGTGGCACCGCCGAGACGGCAAGTGGCAGAACGTGCACTTCCACTGCTCGGGGGCGCCCGTGGCCCCGCTGCAGTGAAGGTGAGCGCCCTCGGGGGAGGAGAGCGCCGCCGGGCGGGGCTGCGGAGAGCGGTGGGGAGGCCAGCGTGGTGTTAGGGGGGCAGGGGCGCCGGGTCAGGGCCTCCAGGCTCCTCGCCGGGCGGCCCCGCAGGCGCCCACCTTGCAGACATCAAACCCGTGTCAGACGGAGAGCAGCCGCCCGACGCTGACCTGCCCGCCCTCGGTCCGCCCCGTTTCAGAGCTGCCGCGGCTGGTTTCACGGGACAGACTCGGTGTTTGGAGCCCAGCTGCCCTCGGGCGCACGGCCTGCCTGTCGCATGTTTGTGTCTGCCTCGTTCCTCCCCTGGTGCCTGTGTCTGCAGAAAACCAAGACCAGATGTGATTTCTTTTTAAAAACAAGACGACAACCGCACACACAAAATTGATGTCGGATGAAATGGAAAAAAAACGAAACAAGGGAAAAAGCTGTAAAAAGCCCTGGCGTTTGTGGGGCTTCGAACCTTCCGGCCGCTCCCCGCCTAAGCTCCACGTGTCCGTCTGCTCCTGGCCTCCTCCGGGGACCGGCCGGGGCAGTGAACTTGTCCGCAGGGGCCTGCCACCCAAGGAACGGTGTTTGCTAGGTGGCGCCCACCCCCACGCGTCTGCATCCTCCCTGCCGCGCATGGCTCCTTGTCAGGAGTGTCAGGTGTCGTCTGGGGAGGGGCTGGGGGGGCTGAGCATGGCTGTCCTCCCTCCTGCTTCCCTTCCCTCCTGTCCTCCCCGGGGAGGCGCAGGTGCGAGGTCCCGGTGTCCCTGGCATGGGTGAGCAGTGCAGAGGCTGGGCCAGCCCCTCTGGGAGGATGCGGAGCCCTCAGAGAAGGCCCGGCGGGCCCAGGGCTCCAACTCTGGCCCCGTCGGGGCCAGGGAGGTGCACTGGGTCGGGCAGGAGGTGTAGGGGGGTCACCCCTTACTCTCAGACCTCATGCCTGGCAAGAGACATGCCGAGAGGATGCTGCTGGCTGTGGCCCAGTGTGCAGGGGACCCCGGGGCTGGCCTCCCTTCTGTTCAGGCACCTCTCCCTCTTTGCCCCCTCCCCCCTCCCCCCGTGTGGGTGTGGGGCAGGAAGGAGAGAGGGGTCAGAGGCGGGTGGGTGCCTTTGGCTCCCAAGCCGAGGCAGAGTCCAGGCAGGTGTTTGCTGAAGGAAGCTGCGCTTTTGGAGTCTGGGCCCAGGGCAGCAGGGAGCGGAGGGCCGCACGGGGCTGCGTGTGACAGGGACCCCCGGGGTTGGGAGAAGGCGGGCTGGGCTCACCTGGGGTCCCCCTGCGTGCTGGCGGGCACTGTGGCAAGCCTCCGGGATGGGCCACGTGGCCAGGGGGCGGCAGAGAGAGCCAAGGGCCGTCGTCTGGGTGTGCGAGTGGGTCTGAGCTGGCCCGCTGGGCCGTGGTTGGGGGTGTGCAGGGGCCGTGATCGCAGAGGTGCAGGACCTCCTGCCCCAGCACCTGCCCTCTTCAACTTATGTTGTTTTCAACACGGATTTTCTTTATCTTCCCCCGCAATCAAGCCAAGGGAGGGGCCTGGAGTGGGGAACAGGACACAGGATGCTGGTCTCCAAGGGGACTGTCCATCGACAGACACTCAGAGTGGACGCTCGCCTGCCGTCCGCGGCTGTGCTCAGGACAGCTGTCCCCACCCATGGACGCGGGGTAAACATCTACCAGGCTCCCTGGGCCTCGGGCAGCGGCAGGGCCCGCCGTGGACAGCGTGTGGCCCGGCCAACCTCGCCTCCTTGGGCCTCCTCCCCTCCTCTACCCCTTCTCTCCACGGAGCTGCCTGTCTGGGATAATTTGGGGTTTTTTTTCTGGGGGATAGTTCTTTTGCATGACCCCTCATGAGCAAGCCACACCCGCTCTTCTAGCTAGATGTCTGCGGTGTGGCAGCGTCGGCCAGCCCGCCCTGCAGAGGGTCGGCTGCCTGCGGTGCTGGCCGGCCTTTCCTCTTCTCTCTTTTTGCTGAGTTTCATTGTCTTTTCTTTCTGAGCCTCGTAAGTGTACAAAATTATTATTTTGTTCTGTCTCGGGAAACTGCAAATAAAAGGAAAACAGGACAAACTGCTTCAAGTGCATCCGCGTGCTCTATGCCGGGACCCTGCTGACCCCTCACCTCACGGCAGGTCCCCTCTCCACCATGTGGGCCCCGGGCTGGCCAGGCTGCAGAAACCCTAGGCCAGACGTTCCCGAGCCTGTCTCGGTGGACGGCACACCCAGGTGGGGCCCCTCCGTGCCGCTGCAGGTCAAGCTCTGCCAGCTATGCCCACCCCAACCTCTGGTTCCCCTGAGGCCCAGGACAGACCCCTGAGGCCCCACGCCCCCAACCTCTCCCGTCACCGTAGTGGCCTCTGAAGATGAGGCTGGGAGAGCGGATCTATGTGGGAAGAGCTGCAGGACCAAGGCCTCCTGCCCTGTCCAATCTCTCCCTCCACCCATCTGTTCTTCGTGCACGTTGATTGGAACACGTGGTGCCCAAGGCCAGCCCCCGCTGCTCCTGTGGGCCTTCACGCTGAGTTGTGTAGACAGCATGTAGGTGGCACACAGGCCAGCGTGGATGTCAGACACCGACGTCAGGAGCAGAAGAGCAGTGGCTGCTGAGATGCAGAGGACAGAGTGGGCGATGACAACGGGGGCCCGGAGAGGCTCTGCGAGGAGCCCCGAACAGCAAGAGCCCAGAGCAGAGACCAGGGGGACAGAGGGATGCCAGGTACGGAGGCTCCCAGATGGTCCCAGACTGAGGAGAGGGCGGGAGGGAGCGAGGGCCCAGGGTCGGCACAGCCAGGTGGTCCCCACCAGGCCTTCCCTCTGCAGCTTAGCCCCAGCATGGAGGGACGTGTCACCTGGCTGCCCATGGCACCCCTACAGCAGGGAACACAAAAGCCTGCTGGGCCTCCCTCGGGAACACTCACCCTTGGCCTGTGTGGCTGAGTGAGCGCTGGCCACGTGGCTGCTGGCCTATCTGATCACCTGACCACAGAGCCGCATGGCAGCCCGGCCCTGCGGCTGTCTGACCACGTGGCCGCATGACCACACTGCTGCATGGACACATGGATGCATGGTTGCCTGGCCCTCCGGACATCTGCGCTCGTGGCCGCACACACTCAGGCCCCGCCGGGCGAGGGCTTCTGGGGCCTGCCTGTGCTCTGCTGTCCCTCCCGCAGACCTCTTGGCCCACCTCGCTCCCAGGCAGGCCCTGGGCAGCCCTGCTGGTACCTCAGAGGCACCCTCCTGTGGAGATGGGCAGCCTCACCTCCACGCCTGGTCCCCAGGCCCTGCTGCCTGTCTGTACCTTACGCCTCGAGCTTACTCAGCACAGAAATACAGGCTTCAAAACAATCTGATACACCAAACGCGCCCACCCAGGGGGGTCCAAGTGACTTCTGATGAGACGGCTGCCGCTTTGGGCCAGCTCAGTCCTGTCCACTGGGACAGAACAGGCCTCCTTCTCCAGCCTCGGCATCTGGTTGCAGGCACCTTCAGATGGGCCAGGAGGCCCTCGATGCCAGCTTGTCAGCCCCGTGGCCGATACCCGGCAGGGGCTCTCAGGTGTGCAGGCAGAAGGGAGGGCTGCACGGGAGCACCTCGGAGGATCCGAGAGCAGGGCACAGAGAATCTAGGACAGAGCCCGCGAGTGGAGTCTGTCCCCGCCACCGCAGTATCTAGGGCTCCACTCACCTATCAGCTGTAATCCGAGGAGGCTTTCCAGGCCAGGCCTCCCTCTGGGCACCCGCCACCGCCTCCCCCCACCCCCCATCCCCCCTACTGTGGCTTCTGAACCCTGAGGTGTGCCAGGACTCCGAAACCCAGAGCAGGGCCGGCAGGACGGGCAGAGGGAGGTCAGTGAGAGGGCCTTTCACTTGTCATTTTAAAAAGCACGTGCTTTGGGCATAGCTCCCTGTACCATGGGTAAAACCCCTGCCCTGGCGGGTCCTCTGGGCAGGAAAAGCCGGGAATGCCCACACTGCTCCCTATTGCGATGGTCAGAAGGCTGAAAACAGGCCCCAGGCCAGCGAAGTAACAGACTGAGAAGTGTTTGCAGACCGTCTGATGACCAGCTGCCGAGGACGTTCCCTAAACGAGGACGAGAGTCCCAGGCCTGCAAGGATGCCTGGAGCACAGGGAGCTCCCACACCCCAGCAAAGATGGCACGCGCTGGAGGGGTTCCCGTCTGCGTGGCCCCGGCCCTGTGGCTGTGCGGCAGCCTCCCAAGCGTAGTGAGGACCAGGTCACAGGGTTCAGAGCAGGGCTTCTCTCTGCTCTGCGGCTCCGTCACCCACTTCCTGCTAGAAAAGTCTGAGGGGAGATGACCGCTTGGGCCTGGTGGGGAGGGGAGCAGGGGGTGGGGGGTTAAGGGAGATGCTGTCTCCCCCCACAGGAACTGCCCCAGGAGACGGGGGACCCCACGCTCTGCAGGCGCACAGTGCGGAGGGGTAGGGCTCCCGCAGAAAGGGGTCCCTGGGGCTCCAACAAAGCACAGGACTATTTTGGAATTTCAAAGGTCAACTTTATCCAGATACGAACCTTTCAGACAGAACACAGAGAGAAAAAGTTAGGCGGCACTTATTAAAATACACTTTGCCAAACGATTTAACATTAGAATACAAGAGGAGCTGGGGAAATGCCGGATGCAGGGTCTCGGCCAGTCCCACCCCCAGTTCCTCCCCAGTATCCTCCTTAGTGGGAGGAGAGTCAGACATAGCTCAAATCGTTCCTAAGGGGAGCTCAGGGCCACCTCAGGCGCCAGCGAGCAGGCTGGGTCTGCGCCTTTCAGGGCCATCCGCGGCAGTAGGAGTCACACGGGCAGGCTGCTTTTAGAGAAAAAGGGCAGCTGGCAGGTGAATTTCTTCGGGTGGGGTCCTGGGAAGCCACGCGGATCCCACCTTCTGGCCCAAGCAAGGGAACTCGCGGCCACTGGCACTTCCTGTCAGGGCAGTGGGACCTCCCAGTTAGGGCAAGAACAGAGTGCACAGGGATGGACACCCAGGGACGAGACCACACTGGTTGACACCACCCCAGCAGGGGCTTCCACGGAGACTGAGTCCCGCAGGGGCATCCCGAGCTTGTGTCCTCAAGAAGCGCAGCAGGGCCCCAGGAGGCAGTCTGGAACATGGCAGTAGGGCCCGAGGGACCAGAGAGGCTGAGAAGGGCCCAGAGCCCCCCGGGCCACTGCCTGGGCTGCTCTGCGTGTCTGTTTCCAGGGTTGGGCCTCAGAGCCGTGGGCCTCGTGCTGCTGGGGGTGGCTGGGGTGGGGGGGGGAGGGTGCGGGCTCAGCAGTGCTTCTGCAGGGGGCTGGGCTGGAGTGTGGAAGGCTCAGACCGTAAGTGGGGTGCTGGGAGCCCCCGGGCTGGCTGGCATCTTCTCTTGGTGCCTGGTAGTGGTGGCCACAGTAAAGGTCACTTGCTAAGACGTGTGTTAAGTCCCAGGTGATTGTCAGGACAGTCTTGTCACCAGAAAGGCAAGTGAAACCTGTTCATGAGAGCCTACAGCACACCCTGCTATGAACCAGATGTTCAAAGCCAGACCACAAGTCCGGGCAGGCGCCCCTCCTGAACTTCCAAGGCATCTCTGTGGAGCTCGCTGGACGGGCACTGCAGAAAGTCAATCTCAGCAGGAGCGCAAACAAGGTCTCAGAACTTGTGAAGCCCAGTGGCTGTCTCCTCCCGACGTGGACACGCTGGCCCGAGCCCCCATCGGCGCCCCCCACGCCCACTGCGCCCGCAGTGGCTGTCTGTCCCACCCCAGCCCTGTAGTCAGGGCACCCCACTCACCGGACTGTTAACACAGCTAGCGTACAGATAAAACCCAAAGGTGTACTGAAGATCAACAAAGAGCCGGCTCTGACCCCCCCGTGGGCCTTGCACACGTCCTTCCCAGGGGGTAGAAACGAGCCCTGCAGCATCTACAGGAGTCACTGAGCTTTATGGTTTCATTCGGCCCCAAAATACACGTTTAGGGGGCCTCAAATTACTAGACATGTGAATCTGAACGTTCCCCACCCCCAGGTCCCTTCCACCCTTCGGTTCCTCCCACGAGCTCCAAAGCCAAAGTTGAGTCTGTCCCACTCGGGTCGTTCCACGGCGGGTCTGCTCCCTGGGGGCTGCAGTTCCGATGTGAGTGACGGTGGCGTTCCAGCGCAGGGGCCTCTGCCGGCTGCCGTCACATGATCGCACAGCACGAGTTTTGCTTCCGGGCCTGGAAAGAGACAAAGAAGAGCTGAAGAGGTGGACCTCGGCACACATAGCACTGGGGGCTCCGCGGGGGTTGGGCGGCTTTACCGGGGGCTCCGGGAATCGCAAGGAGAGAGAGAGAGAACCGGCCCGTCCGTGACGCCTGGAGCGAAGCTGTCCAGGAGCAGTTCATACCCCTGAAGTTATTTTGTCCGCCTTCCGTTAACGCTATCAGTAAGGAAGTAAACTTCCTGTTGTTAAGCCAAGTACAAAGAACAGGAACGTTAAGTCGGGTGGCTGAGTCTCTTCCTCTGCTCCGGCCCCATCTCCCCGTAAAGCTGTCTTAACCCACAGGGGTGTTTCTTACTGAGGATGTCCTCAGAGAACAGAGAGGTTCACACTTCGTTTGTGGGGCCTCCGTTACCTTCCCTCTCACCTCCTGTTCACAGATGCCCCCTAGCCCCACTGGCATCGCCCTCCAAGGCACATGTGAGCGCAAATGTGTGTGTGGATGGACCAAGTAAACGCAGCGCCCCGCTGTTCAAACTGAAATCCTTCGGCTGAAGGGAAGCTAACTAGGAACATAAGGAACTCTCTGGAAGGCGGCGCACTGCTGCTCCTGGGCAGGCAGCAGGGATGCGGGGCCCACCCTTCCGGCCTGGGGAGCGGGGAGCCCGGAGGCAGGGCGGGGCAAGGCCCCAGCTCACCTAGGCTCCCACAGCGCCCCAGTGAACCTGCCGCTACTGACCGGCCACGTTACTGAACGTTCCAAGGAAGACTTGTTTAGTGGTGAGCACGCGGCCACTGCTCTCGGGAAGGGGTGCTCGGGAGCCGGGCCGCACTCACCG